AATATCAATAAGAATAGATAGATAGATAGGTAGAATATTCTTTATTGTACACACAAAGACAAAAATACATTTATATGACGAAAACAGGAGACGTACAATTGGCGGCCTTATCACTAAAAGTGATCTCTTCAAGGCAACCTTGGGATTAAAAAAAATATTTCATAATTGTATCAATTCTTTTCCTCTTTTTTAGCGTTCTGCAAATCAGAAGAAAAGAATGGAACCCTTATAATGTAGTTCACCTGTTACAGTAGATTTACTGAGAAACTACGCGACGGATTGAATTGCAATTTGGTGAAAAAAAAAACAAGTACTTTTTAAAATCAGGGGTTAACCCTTGATTTACCACGAAATTTTATGTAAGCGCTAAAAAAGAATAAAAGTAATAAAAAAGTATGCAAGCTCTTGGTAAATCAGGGGTAAGAACTTTCAGATTTTTCAAATATTTTTTATAAAGAGAATAAATATTTTTTTAAAGTATAAATTATGTTGGTAAACTATTAATCTTCAAAACTTTCGGCTTAATATAAAACACCAAGAGCCCACTAAACACTCGTAACAAAATATAATGAAGGGAATGACTTCTGTTCATGCAATACAATCAACTTTATTTATATTTGATTGAAATCTGTTCTACTAATCATAACCGAAAAAAGATGCAACGCATAGACTCGAGCGTTTTTGTTATTCGTACATACATAAGTATTGTAAGAAGACTCCTGCCCCTGTGATTTAGTCGGGTTTAAAAATAAAGTTCTTTTGCTTTATGATTTGGAATTTATATTAGCTATTAAATACATTAAAAAAATACATAAAAATTAAAATGTATTTATTGAAACAAATAGTTCAACAATAGTATAGTGTACGATAATACATAGTAACGGTAGTTTAAAAAAGAAAACTGAAGTGCAACCATTAGCGCCCACCTCCAGATGTTAATGTTATGTTCCTTATTCTACTACATTGGTAACATTATAATTTATAATAATTATTTGAGTTACATTATAATATTGTATTTGATACTCCGAGATGGTATTCGAACCTCTATCTATCGCAATACAGGCGATAACATTAAGCTCCCCGAGACCCAACAGGACTGGTGAATCTTTCAAGCACTTATATAATTATAATAATTAGAACAACTTTAAAATCGTACAAATATTTCAAACCTTTTCATAAATTCACAAACGCTCGCCGCTTAATCCTGACACCGCATTCAGTAACATTATAAGCTTCACAGATGCAGTCAACAGATGCATTGTACAAAAGTATGAAATGGGTCAAAGTTTAATACAAGCAGTATTGTGTGTGTGTACGTCAGATTTCATGTGTTCACTTCTGTCTATGATGGCGACCTCTTTTCATTTATAATGAAATATACCTACTTACTGTGAGTGGATTTTGGAATTGTTATCCGCATATAGAAACTTCTTATTGTGTATTTTCATTCGCTGTTTAGATTAATCATATGGACATAAAAACTTTGTGACACCTACTTTACTTAAAAATATGTATTTTTTTTAATACCCACAGATTTACTTCGTTTACGAGAATAGGGATAATGACTATTTTTTATGTGTGTCCGGCAGGTAGATTATTACAAATGTATTTGTTATTTTTGCGTAACCAATAAATTACGACAATAAATTGAGTTGAATTGTACCTTTGTATATTTTCTATATAGCTGTGACGTAGCGAGCCCCAACTATAAAAACAACTATGGTAACATAGCAAAAGTCATAAAGCAAAATATAAAATTTGGAATATTTATGAGAGAAGTCGTTGGGAAGAAAATTTTTCCAGTTATAAATAACTGGAAAAATTTTCTTTTATAAAATATATAGAAAATATATAGAAAAATTTTCTTTTATATAGTTATAAATAACTGGAAAAATTTTCTTTTGTTTTCTGGGTTCACACTATCCAATAGAACAATTATCAAAATAGAACTACTCTAAAAATATAGGCATCAGACAACAGGATCTCCTCTGTGTCTCGTAGGTTAGTAAAAAAAACCTAATATATCTATAGGTTGTATGTTGGATACCATATTTAATGTGTTATCTAGTGTATAAACAATGAATAAACAATCGCACCTACATACATTACAATCAAAACTAATCTTGTTAACATCAACATAAGTACATACTCACCTTTCCAATATACTCGATTCATTTCTTTCGTGACATAATTAATTTATTTTGTGTGGTTTCATGTTGTCTGATTATATTGCGACGAATGTTAGAATCATCTAACATCGTATAACGTTCTTATGTGTTTAAAGTTTGTAGGATTTAATGTTGCCTCAAAATGGTTGGTGGATTTTTTAAGTATTCTTTATTAAGAATATTTTTCTATGTAGCATTGATCAAATTGATCAAATATAATAGTTGCTGTTTTTGTGCTCATTTATCTCACGGGAAAATATTAAAACTCAACGTGTTAAATTGGATTTAAAAAAGGACGTAAGGGCAAAAGACTGTTCAGAAAGTATCGGAAAATGTGCGTTGCAAACTGTTTTGTTAGATCGCACAATTTGGACTGACTCGATTATTTATCAATTTTCACTTTCAAAAGGCATTTATTTCTTCATTGAAATCTTTTAATAAGTATTGAGAAAATATTAAAGTTTAAGAATAACTTTGTGGCTTATTTTTATTGAGAAAATGGTATAAAGAATACATATGGTGGATCTTCTATAAAATGCATTTTACCTACTTTAAACAGCTTATTTGGATGTTATTTCTTTGTAGAAAACAGTTGAAAGTTAGTGTGTGTGGTCTACTAAAAAAATATTAGGTCATTTTGTCTATGAACTTAATACAAGAGACCCAAGAGACAATCATGACTGCACATATGCACTCGGTAACATCCACTAATCCTCATTGGAACCACGGAGTTGGTTATGGGGATTCCCCAATTGGGATTCTATTCATAATGTCCCAACAATACTACTCGTACGCAACTCGTTCTCTTATTTCAAAAAACGAAATTTCGAAATGTCAATAAGATTCTAATGAAACGCATTTTTAGATAATTTACGATGTAGTGGAGGTAGGAATGTGATATAATCTCTGAAGTAAAGGTAATCTTCACAGATATGATAATAATAAATTTATAAGAACATTTCGAAAATATCCAAACTTTCGTTCGAGTACACGTGTAATAGGCCACCAGGAGTGCGATCACCTAAGTTAACATCATAGCAAAATTTAATTTCATTTTACGACTTTGACATGTCTTTTGTACTCTTTGGTTAGAGTTATAGCTAAAGGGGTAAGGCCGTCGCTTTGTCAGTGTCATGTAAATTCGTACGAGTTATAGACTTATTGGCATTATGGTCTAAAATCAAGAAGAAAGAAGAGACTAAGAAGTCACAATTTCTTGTTAACTATTTAAAAAGACCAATACACATAAAGTTTTCAGAGAAAAATGCAAGAAGATTTTTCTTTTACCAAATAAAACCTGGTAACTTCTTCGGCAGGAGATGAATTTCATTGTTTCTCGATACCTAAAGCAGTAACTAACTAATATAATAATTTGAAATTCGAAATGAACTATAGAAAGTTCAGTGTCCTTTGACATTAAATGTTTGAATCTCCATAGACGAAGGGACGATACGTGAGCAAGCAAGATATCTAAGACTTATCCAGTTCCTTATTGGTGTTCCAAATCATCCTTGTTACATTTGAAATAAGAGTTTTTCTTCTTAAAACTATCCAAACGTATCGTTTAAGGAACAGTTAAGAGTTAAATTCATCGACTTCTTGCTTGTCACGGACAAATTCCGTTTATGGCTCGTCCATGTTATCATGGATCTGCAATATTGAGTTTAGAACACATTTTTCGAGCAGAATTTCTTATAAATACATCACTTTCGTTTTATACAATACAGGCATGGCTGGATAAACCTATCAGGATTTTAATCACGACGTACAGTCACAAAATTATATATTATATCAAAGACCGTGATAACATAGATGCTTAAGTATAGCTTTTGATCATTTACCTACGTCTAGAAATCGTAATGTGTCGGAAGATTATGACTTAATTTAATTAATGTTTCTAATGATACAAATAAAGATTGGCAGACCTTTGGAAAAATATATTAAATGACAGTACAATAGGATTAAAAGTATTTAGAATATTTGAATTGAAGTTTTAGCCTTCTTGAAAGCATTTATTAAATACAAAAAAGTCGTCATCATGAAACTAAAACTTAGTTATTGCTTAATAGTTTTAGACGAGTTAGTCAGACAATGTCAACAATAATATGGATGCTATTTAAAAATATTAAATTTGAACATATCTACCAAAAATGTCGAAAGTCGCGTCTTATGTCTCTTAGTGGAAGAAGCTTAGCAAAATTCTCCATAGTGTAACAGTCTTGATGGACGTTATAATGTTGTTTATATTATTGTCTCATGATGAAAAATGAGCTAATAAGCAAAAACGACAGTGTAGCGCAGCAATAAATGTGTTACTTCGTGTTACATAACTCGATGCTTTGTTTTCTTCGCTTCTGTAAAACGTGCATTTAACAGAAAAGGAAAACTTGCTTACAATATCATAATAAAATGCCTGAATAAGATTTGATTCAGTTTCATGAAGTTTTCGAATCTACGGTTAAAAATGTTGCTCTCTAAAATAGCTAATGATTATTATAAACTAGCAAGATTAAAAGAATAAAATGATACCTCAAGTAGCATATGAACTTCATACCTTACTTAAACTGGGTTAATATTCTAACTACCGTATTTACAAGTATTTTTGAGAATTTATTATTTTGTTGTGTAATATGGTTTTGCAAAAACGACGTTTAATAAAAAAATGCATTGAAGCGTTAACTTTCATACATGCAAGATGATGACAAGTAAATATATATGTTGCCAACCTAATCAACAATTCCCTTCACACATCAAATACATTTAAGAGTACGTTCATTTCCGTTACTTCCAAACGTTACTAGAATTACAATTGATCTATATATTTAATTTCAGATAAGATGCGGGTGTGATGACTCAGGCGAGAGAAACACTCGGCGTAATGGACGGCAACCCACCTACTTGCGACTTCTCTACGAAGACTAAGAGGGGAGTATACCTCTCCAAGAGTCTCGCGTTCGTCATCCTCATCATTTTTGCTTTAGCGTTGGTCGCAACTTCCTTTCTAGTGTATAATTTTGCCGCATGTCCTAGAACGGATCAGCTGGCAAACGTCACAAAATATGAACTTACCCATTGTGACCAAAATAAATTTTTAGTCTTGCCCCTTACCACTGAAACCAGCAAAATTGTCATCCCCTTAGAGACTACAACAGTTTTAGCGACAACTGAAGAGACAGAAATCACCGTTACAGATGTACGCCTCCCGACAAATATAAAACCTGAAAGGTATCATTTGAAACTCACTCCTTATATATATGAAGGAAATTTTACATTCGACGGTGTAGTCAGTGTTGTGGTGACAGTGAAAAATGACACTAAAGAAGTGAAATTCCATGGTGTTGAATTGACTTTCCACAGTATAAAGCTTTTTGAGAAAGGTGATGGCAGAGAAATAATTATTTCGAGAAGAACGGAAGATGTACCAAGGCAGTTCCATATATTGACATTGGAAGAATCGTTGAAGGCCGGCAAGCAGTATGTGTTGAATATAACGTATACGGGAATCTTGAATGACAACCTTCATGGTTTCTACAGAAGCTCTTACGAGGAGAAAAATATTACGAGGTATATAACTTTTTTCTTTGATTTTGTTCTTACTACTTAAGCTCGAAATTATCCGATAATCCTATAAAATTATCGAGAGTCACTTAAGCTCATAATTTTATGGAGATTTTACTGTTTATAGAAACCTGATGCACGTTATTACAACAACATAGGCCTTTATATTGCTTTGTTTTTATATTGTAACAAAATTATCTTATAAATATTTCATTTTATGTAAATAATATAGGAGGGTTTCTTCAATCATCATCAGCCTATTAAAGTCTACCGCTGGGGTACAGGCTTTCTCTATGGATGAAATCAAAACGGGAGAATGGACCTTAACTCACTACGCATAAGAAAAATATTTTTCTTTTTTAAAACGAAATGATGATGATACACAATCGAAACTGAATTGAAGTAGATTAACTCATAATAGAAACGTTTTTAATGTAACGCTGTAATCATTTTACTATGACCTTATGCTTTATATTCTCTTATTACAATAATAGAGAATACAAGTCATCATAAAAAATCGGCTTGCTTTCATTTTCTGCTTCAAATATCGATTCTAAGATGAGTAGTCACGTGTTGTTTTAGTGTGACAATAGATCATTATTTGTTATTCTGTAGAGGCCACATTCATGCGGAATTACTCTAACCACAATAAGTGGCTATCGTGTGGAATACTAATGGTCTCCTTAATTCTTTAACTGGTCATCGTAAGGATTTATTAACAGTTAAAAATGTGTAAACAAATAGGTAATTTATCTGGCAGTTGTTTACGTAGTTTAGATTTATTTGACGAAAATAAATATCGGTTCGTGCAATTAATAGGTTCTACTTTTATCTCATAGATTTTGCCTGTTTTTGGTTCAAATTTAATTTCTTTCTTATTTTTTTATATAAGTATACGACAATACCTTTTCTGCGATCGATAGCAGCTGACGTAGTTTTTTATATGGAGATCTATTATGTACTTTATTACCTTAACTTTCTTACTTTTAGTATTTGAATAAGTCGGTTATTTTTTGAGGAACTTACTTTATCCATATTAATATTATTAACAGAAAAGATTTAATTTTTGGTTGCAATGAATAGGACCCGATATTTATTGGAATGATTTTATAAATTATTTCATCTAATCTAAGTTTAAATGTTTATTACTTCTTCACGCAAAAACTACTAAACGGATTTTGATGTAATTTGGTATACGGATAATTCAAGTCTGGATAAACACATAAGCGAATTTTTATCTCATGGATTACGCGAGCGATCCCAAGTAGCACAAAACACCATTATATCAAACTTATAATAGCACGAGTCCAAGCCTTAAGCATTATAAGAAAATCGTATATCAACCGTGTTTCTTTTAAATGACTCTTATACGTAAAATTTGGGCCCCCCTTTGTACGACTTTAAGCTTTATAAAAGCTGTGCAATAGCACTACAACTTTTGTATAATAGCATTAATAAAGTCGGGTAAAAGCATTCTAAGGTGCTAATTGAACTTTTTGTGGCTATAATACAAATGATATGCGGCAATCAAAATTATAATGCGTTAATTTAATGTTATTAAAATGCTTACTGTTTTGTTTCCTTTGTAAAAAAGTATATTTAATAGATTTAATAACTATATAATCGGTTTAAGTTATTGTTTTGTGTAAGTGTCATGATATGTTCTGTTGGTTGGTCTTTTAAGTATTTTTTAATATTGAACAGGAGAGTACTAACATTTATACAGCTCGTTATGAGTGAAATAAGCTGCAAACATCAGTTTGTGGAGTAAAATATACAAGTTTATGGTGTAAAATACGCCTTCGCAAACTTCCTTTAATATAATAAAAATAATTGAAAATTTAACCTAGAAGCAAAAATTTTTGTTGAATTTTAGGCTTTTAGCATTGTTTTAACAACATAATTGCTTTTATAGGCCTCTGTGCACAAAATAAATGATTATTAACCCCTTTTCATCTGACACAATTGATTTTAAATATTATTGTAAGAAATGGAAAAAGAAAATTAAAGCATTAGGTATTCAAATATAGTGTAGTAGAGTTGTTAATCGTATTATGGTTAGACACAAAACTAAGAGCTCGAAATTCACCGTATAACAGACTCCCATTTTAGGTTAAGCCGTATTTTAACACTTCAGAAGTATCTTATAGTGCTTATAATCATCAAACGAATATTTCATTTTTATTTTGATTTTTAAAAGCTTCAATTAAATTAGAATACTCTTTTTTCAGTTTTCTTTTATATCCACCTGTTTTCTTTGTTTTTCCCAACGTTTTTTGTCCATGGTGCCAGCGATGCGTATAAAATGCCACCACTACAATACAATAGATAAAATAATTTTACATTTTAATTTTTACATAAAATATAATTACGATCTATTTATTATCTGTATTTCTAAAAATAACTTAATTTTGATCAAAATATAGCCTAATAGTTTGATAAAAGCATAGATTAAGAAGATAAAGGAGCTTGAGCTTGATTAAAGAATACTTTAAGAACAAATCGGTGCAACCATAGGCCATTAGAAAACCTTTGTTTCTAGGAAATGACTAAATACAACTAAGTGCACTAAATAATATTACGTTAATGCTTATATTATATATAATGTTTTTCATATCACCGAAATACGATAACAGCTTTATATTAACATTACCCAATACTTTAATAGGAGTTTTGACATTGGTATACTTTTTTATTAACCTTAATATGGCATTAAGCATTATTAGATAAAATAAATGCCTTTACACAAATTCGAAACTTGACCAGTGCTGATTAAAAATGTTAGTATGACTTTAGGACATAAATCGGTACTTATTTTAGTTAATATATTATTTATATGCCGCTTGGGATGCCATTGGCGGATAAGTAGTGTTAAATAAAATGGAATTGAAAATAGTATAAATTAACTTTAACAGTAAAATAATCTCAAAACCACAAAACTGCCTGAAATTGAGAATAATTATTTTAAACCATAAACTTAAACCACGTATCGATTGACTGTTATCCAAGCTGCACTAGTATTGTTACAATAACTTGTAAAAATTAAGTCAATTAACATAACAATCAACAAACAACGCACGTGGAAAAAATGCTTAGTCAATTATTTTAAATAACAGTTACTAAATTCAGCACCACATACAAAAGAAACAATGACATTACTTTTCGAAGTAGGTGTTTATGTTTACAGCAGTTGATATAAAAAATAAATCATATCTATAAATGTACTATTCGATATAGCACTTGGTTTTGAATAGTAAAACTTTGCTCATCACCCCTGGTGAATGGCGTTGAAATATTAACCATAAAAAGGGGAACAAAATCAATAAAATCGGTGAAATGATTGTTAGAATATTGTTATTGAACCTTTCTGTTTGCTTGTTCAGAGCAAATTCTTCATAGTATTAGCTGGGTTTTACGATTTTACGCTTGTAGTATAATATTATCGATTCAAATATCATTATCTGATTAAACTAATAAGTAGTTTGATTCTTGGGAACCATTATTAAATTGAGGTACAGAATTAATGCTATTCGCAAAAGAGAATTATGTGTAATTTTTAATCCAGAGACTAATTACAGCGTGGTAGGTTATAGGCCATTATTCCTATTTGATTAGATTTCACACACCTGGAGGACTTGTGTCCCAGTAGTGGGGATATTAATAGGCTGATAAAAATAAAAAAAAATCTTAATATAACCATCTCCGGCACTTTTCTCTTGAGATTTTTTAGCATTTCTCTGTAAGATGTCAATTTACGAATTTAAAGTTTATCAAATATAATATTATTATTTTTTTTACTTCAAACGTACTAGTCATTTGAATAGTTAAAATCGTTTTTACCTAGAATATAGAAGAGAAGCTGCTAGCTGGATGTATCATTAAATTTTCAGATGGATAGCTGTAACCCAGTTCCAAGCGACCGACGCCCGGCGAGCATTCCCGTGCTGGGATGAACCGGCTTTGAAGGCCAAATTCACAATCAGCATAGCAAGACCTTCCAACATGAGCTCAGTCTCTAATATGAACGTCATCAGTAAAGAGAAACAGTAAGTGTATTTAAAAATATTATAATTTATTTATCGTATTTTCTCGTCTACTATAGGATATGCAGAGACGTATATCTATACAAATATTTTACAGAGGAAAGATTTGATTGTATATTTGTATTGAATAGGTTCCCATACTATTGGATCAATTTTAAAAACTGTTTGATCTACGGTAAGCTACATTCAGTGGCATAACTACAGGGTGGCAAGTCGGCAAAATGCCGCGGGCATTTGTTTGCCCTCAGCCGGAAGGGGCCCCGGCCAGAGGAAACTCATTACTCCTGATATTTATTATTACACAATTAGTAAAATAAAAGAATATCCGATGAATTAGACACATATAACATATACATGCATATTGAATATAGAAATTCCTCCTTTAAAAAGCAAATTTATATCTCCACACAGCTTATGGGATCATCTCTGGCCCATAAGTTGTCTAGTAAAAACACAATTAATGGAAAAATAGTGAATAGAAATATATATAAGTTAATTAATAAACCTAAAGCAAATAAATCAAAGCTTGATTTGTTTATAGCCCAACTCTTCCAAACTACAAATGGGATCATTATGCAGAATCTTTACCAATGTCTACGTATCTGGTGGCATTTGCTGTAACAGACTTTGGCAGCATCAGCGATCAGAATTTCACTGTATGGGCCAGAAAGGAAGCTCTCTCGTCTGCTAAATATGCCCTTAATATTGGTCCAAAAATACTTAAATTCTTGGAAGAATATTACAAGATAAAGTTTCCGCTACCGAAAATAGACATGATCGCTCTACCTGACTTCAAGGCTGGTGCGATGGAGAATTGGGGACTACTTACCTTCAGGTATTTAAAAACTGACAGAAACTTTTTTTTAATCTAAGCTAGACTGAATGGGTATTTTTGATTCAGCAATCCCTAAGAATTATTAATCCCTGTTCATTAACAAATAGAAATCGAAAGGCATGCTAATACAAATTGTGTCATTTTCACGGAGCTGTGACGAGGCCGTGAACGTATTCAGGGTCAAACTTATATCGAAAACAAATACTTCTTCAACGGACTTATTCTGAAAGATGTTTACATTTCGATAATATATAATCTAAAAACAGTGATCGTCTATTGACTATTATACTTTTTAAAGGAAACAAATATATCTGTTTTAAAGTGCATCCTTTATTAATCTCCACCTGCAGTTTGGTTCGCAATTGCGCTTTTGTCGAAGTTCTGGCAAATTTTTGACGCCATTTTGGTGATTCTAAACTTAAAGATTAATAACGGAAAGAAAGAAAAATAATTAATTGAACACACACATACAATTACACAATCGTCAATTACTGAGTGTATATAGTATGGCGGTGTGTGATGTGGTGTCCAAATGGAATAGTCGTAATAAATAGGAAAAGGAAATACTCTGATAGTAATATATTACCTATAGTTATTTATCATTCAATATCGGACTGCAATATCGGAATTTGTGATCGAGTTTCCTAGATTCATTCCCATTCATTATAGCATCAGAATACTTTGTTTTTTTTTTTAATCCCTTAATGTTGTTCCTGCATGCTCATTTCCTAAATACGCCGAATGATTTGAACAGCCCTTTAATTTGTTTCCACCTCTCTCAAGTGGGTGTTTATGAATGAACATTTCTAATGACAGTTTATTAGCGATCGGGAATAGGGACGCGGATCGATCGGCCGATATCGAGGGAGACACTTCATTAGTCGGAGGCACACCGAGGCCATCAATCACCCTACGATCAAGGGTGACTCGATTGACGTCCATTCGAGATTGGTTCACACACGTAATAGTAGATAATGGTCCTTTTTTTAATTACTGTTATGGATACATAGCTAATAAGTTTTTGCAAATATCACATCTGATTAGCTGCACATCGTGAATAGGATTTCATACCAGTTAGATATTAAATCATCACTCTCTATTCTGGGTAGTTATTATTGAGTTAATTTTTACAATAAATAAATACCTTGTAAAACTAGTTATCATTGAAAATATATTCCATTGAGGTCTCTTGCTATGACAGTCCCCATCTGAATTCCTATGTGATGGTGCATTACCTTAAAACCGCCTACACTTAGGTCAATATTATTCTTGAATTTGTTCCTTTTACAGAGAACTAGCAATGTTGTATGATAGCGGAGTATATCCGACAACAGCAAAGGCGCGCGTCGCAGCAGTAGTTGCTCACGAGATAGCCCACCAGTGGTTTGGCAATCTAGTTACCCCTGCTTGGTGGTCAGACATATGGCTGAATGAGGGATTCGCCAGCTATGTGGAGTATGTCGCTGTTGATGCCGTAAGTGTCATTTTATACTATGTGGACGGTCTGCATAAGTTGGGGTCTACTGTGTAGTTTCCATGGTATGATGAATACTTAGGTTGATTTTGAAAATTGCAGTCTCTTTTTCAAGTGGTCGTATTGCTTATATAGCTGAAGGGCTTAAGTTAAGAAAAATTAAATGCAGGCACACAATCTAACGCAGTTGCTTGGATTTACGGGTCAGTGGATATCATAAGAAAGATTCATTTCGTAAAATATTTGCCAGTTAATTTAATATCCCATTCAACTTTGCACAGACAATTGATGTTCAGTCAGCACTTTGTAAATCAAATTTAAATATTAGTTTCTTGTGCTCAACGGTTTTTCCATCAGATTTGCACTAACCCTTAATTTATTGTTGAAAGAACTAAATACACTAACAATTGTATGAGGTTCAATTAGTTACGTGACTTCAAGGTATGATCTCTTTAGGATCTAGGGTCGATAATGTAGAATATGTTTTATATTGTTCGTGTAGTAGAGTGTAGTGGTATCTTCATTAGTCCAGATTTTTACAATAGAAGGACTCTAACTAAATATGCTTTTCCTTTAATTTCTGAGCAATTTATAATAATAATAATAATAATAATATACTTTATTGCACTCAATATGATACAATGTTTACAGGAGCTTATTATTTAAAAACATTGAGTAAACAAATGGCGGCCTTATTGCTTAACAGCAATTTCTTCCAGGCAACCTATGGTGAAACTGGATAACGAATATAGATACTGTGGGGAGTGGGTGCAATATTGAGAAGGATAAATACATTAATAGCGTTAATATATTATGACAAATAAATATATATATATATATAAACAATAAAGAATGTAATAATATATACATATGAAATGGATATGTGACTAGAACTGCAATGTATTTATATTATTATCTAGTTTAGAGTTAGATTCATAGTCACGTCAATTGATAAAAATCCCTTTTTATGAATTAAATTATGTTGATTGTGTTTTCGTCAATGTTTATAAACATACTTATATGGATTTAGTGATCAGAATGCTTCCCAAATTTCTTTTTAATCGTTTACATAGTTACAACAAACTGCGATACAGTATTAACTAAGTATTATATTCGCTGGTATTCTTTCCGTTTTATCAGGTTGAAGAAACTTGGGAATCTATGGAGGTATTCGTTTTAAATGAAGTCCAGAGCGTATTCAAATTAGATGCCCTTACTTCTTCGCATCAGATCTCTGTGGAGGTCGGTAATCCCGAGGAGATTGGTGCCATATTTGACAAGATATCCTACGGAAAAGGTATTTTGCACGACTGAAATTTACACGATATATATATATATATATATATATAAGGCAACTAGAAAAGCGTATATGGATCATAGGTATCTATGATAACTCTATTAAAACTGTCGAACCGCCTAAACTTATAAAATAATGTTATTTACTGACTTTTTACAATAAATAAGTGTGTGCTGCGCTATTTATTATGTTCTTCAACTTCAACACATATGTTTTTCAACTATTTTCAATATATTTCCTGTTTTTTATTTATTAAGTTTATTTTTTTTACGTATTTTATTATTTCAATAGTTTTTTTTACTTCATAATTCAGTTTTGAGATAGAAATATAATTTTTTCACCGATAATTAACAGGCTCAGCGATTCTCCGAATGATGAACCATTTTCTTACTGATGATGTATTTAACGCTGGTATTACCGACTATCTCAACGCTAAGAAGTTTGGTGACGCTGAACAGAGAGACTTATGGAGTGCCCTCACCAACGCTGCTCATCAGAGAGGGGTCTTAGATGCTGATGTAGCCATAATAATGGACTCTTGGACTCTACAAACTGGATTCCCTGTACTCACCATAAACAGGGATTATAACACAGGAGTTATATCGTTCAAACAGGTATTTTTAAAACGTGAAAAATATAATAACAGGTCACTTATCAGCCAGATGCACAAACGTTCAAAAATGGTCATTAGTTTAAAGTGACATTAGTGATATAAATTTGACGTTTAATGTTAATTGACGTTTGTGCAACCGACCGTTATCGCTATTGAAGTTTCTATTTTGTATGGTTATTAATTGAAGGTCTTCTTAAATACGACGTTCTTTAAAGAGTTTTAGCAGTGATTTAATATAATTTGATATTTTTAGGGTTATGTGCCCAAAGGGTAAAATGGGAACCGTATTATTAAGACTTCGCTGTCTATCTGTCTGTCACCAGGCTGTATCTCATGAACCGTGAAAGTTAGTTTAATTTTCATTGATGATGTTTATCTATTACCGCTAAAACATTACACTAAACAATAAAAACCAGAATAAAATTAATATTTGAGGGGTCTCCCTTACAACAAAAGTGATTTTTTGCTTTTATACGGTTTGGAAGTCTACGAACGCGTTTCCGACTCGCACTGTTTTTTTTATATGAGCCAATGATGTTTTTTGTTGTATTGGTTAGTTATTTTGTATTTATTTGTGTTAATGTAATGATTCATAAATTAATCCTTTTGTTTTTGTGCATCAGCATCTTCCTGTTAATCAATTTTGATCCAAACGAAAATGTCATTATCGTAAACATTATTCCATATCATTAATAACTAAATTAAAAATAAGTATGACTTGTGACTAGCATGATAAAATTATGAATGATGAATAAACAATCAGATAATAAAATTTTTATTAGTATTTTTAATCTCCTCACCTGATTTCCGTGCCGCAAAAATAGATGGCGTTAGCAGTAGTTTTAGTCAACACAATACACCTGTCTCAAAGTTTAAATATTTTTGATTCAGTTACAAAATATAACGGTTTTTAATGACATAAAATAACTTTTCAAATTTTGCCCTCATGACTTTACCACGATTTCTTATTCTCAGGAGCGGTTCGTCCTTATAAACAATACTTCTGGAAATGAGACGTCACCTGTTTGGTGGATACCAGTGTCTTACACTACAGCAGCGGAAAAGAATTTCAAATCAACAAGTCCGAAACTATGGTTGCGGGGTGAGAAGTCCATCGAAGTGAACGACATTTCTATAGCCAAGAATGAGTGGTTTATAGCAAACATTCAGCAAACAGGTAAGATCTTGTGTCTTTATAATTCAGACGTAAATCTTCGACTTTAAATGCAAAATACTCCGAAAACAGCCGAGTGGTTCGCGTGTCGGTTTCAAGGTATCGCCATCTTTGTGGTCCCAGGTTCGATTCCTGGTCTGGTCAATGTAAAAAATGAACTTTTTTATATTGTCTCGGGTCAGGGTGTTGTGATATCTTCGTTGTCTCAGATACTCCAAAATACGGGGGCTTTAGCTACCCATCTTGGAATCTGATCAATGTATGTGATGTTGTTTAATATTATTATATTAATGATTTCCGCATAGGGTGTTTGTATAAATTGTAGAGGATCTAGCTTAAGGGATGAGTTTAGGTGGTAAAGCACTAAGTTCATCAAGGTTATCTACAAATTAAATGTTAAACTATGTTTTTAAAAAGATTTGTCATGTCTGACAAACTATTTTCTTTTAGTGTTTTAATGTTATATTAATATCGAAGGAAGGTAAATATATAGATTAGTATACAATAGCAATTTTATTGTTTGTTTGCATTATTTCACCTACGGGAAGCTACATCATATGTTGGTGACATAGACTTTAATTATGAATTCCATATAAATCATGATAGGTGAACGAGTTGTTAATACTCAAAGGGAATTTTTAACACTATTATTTTTCTAATAAATTGGAAACATTTGTAAACATACTAAGTTTCTGTAATAGATATCAATGTTCTGTACTTATTTCTTTGTACTAAAAATAAAAAAACTAATGATAGAAAATTTTTGAATGAATAAATATATTGTGAATTATTATAAAATCATTTTGAAATTCAAATAACGGTTGTAATGGTTTTCAGGTTTTTATCGTATAAATTACGATGAAACTAACTGGAGACTGCTGGTAGACGTCTTGAATAATCCAAAGAGGTTCCAAGAAATCCATCCCATTAATCGTGCCCAGATAGTGGATGATGCGATGAACCTGGCTCTAACTGGTAGATTGGATTACAGAACAGCTCTCGACATTACCAGTTACCTAGTCCATGAGAGGAGTTACGTGCCTTGGAAGGCTGGTCTTATGGCTCTTGGTTACATTGACACGATGCTCTCAAAAGGAGCCTATTATTTGGAATATAAGGTAACAATTTGTTGCAGTATACCTAATGGGGTTAGCTTAGAACTGTATATCTAAGGATAAAACTATAAAGGATAAATAAATGAAAGGCTGACTAAGCTTGAGAAAATAACAACAGTTGTATTGAATAATCTACAAAACTACTGGACCAGTTTTTTAAAGTCTTTCACTTATGGAAAGATGCTTTATGCAAGGGCGACATATGCTATAATTTTAGAGGGCGAAGTCGCGTAAAATAATCAAGTAAAATATAATTAAAGAAATGGAATGTTGAATATAAACACTTTCTTTCATATCTAAATCAGCTTATAATCGGTTAAGTTGTAATTTTTGATATTTTTATTAATTAACAATCAATATAAATGTGCTAAAAACATAATTAATCAAAAAGAATTATTCCGATACTCTTCACAATACTTAAATCCTTTGTTTTGTTATCGATTTGTTTTGAAAATGAGCAGAGGAAAAGTTCTTGAGCAAAGGATGATCGTAGTATCAAAATATATTGTATCAGGATGAGGAAGTTAAGCAACTTTTACAAGAGTCAGGCATAGGATGGGTGACCAAAACTTATTATAACCTATTATATATCAAAACATAAGCTGTTCGACCTGGCTGGATTTTCGTTTGTTAACACTTAACGAATCAGAATTCGGTTCGTATGGTGGGACTTGGCTCATTCCATTCATAGAGAATGCCTGTGCCCTAGAAGTGGGACATTAAAAAGCTGACGATGAATATATGTATCACATAATATTGTATTGTAATTTAATGTATTTAAAACTTTGAGGGTTACATAAACTTTCTATATTTGGAAATCTGAAGCATCTTAATAAAAAAGTTGAAAATTTCGTAACGAATAAGTGCACATGCACTTAAAAATATGCAGTGTCAATAATAATAGAATGTATGTTAAAATTACAAGGACTTTAAACGACACAATTTTACCTATAGCATTACTAAGTAAAATGTCTATCGGAACACAATAATCATAATGATATCTTATAAAAAGATTATCAGCAAAGTGAATTGAAGCGTGGAAGATAAGAAATATGAGCCTAGTTAATAAGTAATTTATAATCTGATTGATTAGAATAAGACGATATGCGTCATTTATGAAGTGAGGCGATAATAGTGTATGGAATTTATCGAATATTTTTGAAACTAGTATAAGTATCTAATGGTTCCGTAGTCAGTTAACTTACATGTAGTCAGTTCCGTAGTCAATTGAAATTTTTTACTTGTAATTATACTTATATTTTCTATATACAAGTAAAAATTTTCTTTTGTTAATACAATTATAATTATGAACATCATGAATATATACTGCGTGTTCAAAAATACCAGTTATAACTGAAACGTGTTGAAATAAAATCGTATAAAGGAGTTTGGGAATCACTCAAAACCTTTGCATTAAGTTTTAATTTTAAGTAAACATACACATATAAACACTATAAAATTTTATCACATGGTGTGTACAAATTTTTTGGTATACAATACAATTTTACAATTTTTTGGTATACAATACTAATTTCAAATGGCAATGTTGTCTAGTAATATTATTGTGTGGGTACTATGTTAATTGAAATAATTAGTATAATATTATAATAAAAATGTTTAGTTATATAGAATAATTATCTAGCAGTGTATACCTTAATTTTGAACCAGTTACCTTAACCGATTACGATGATATTTTCCATATGGTTCGCACGCCGGTTTCAAGGTGTCGCCATCTCTGAGGTCCCGGGTTCGATTCCCGGTCGGGTCAATGTAGAAAATGAACTTTTCTATATTGACTCGGGTCTGGGTGTTGTGGTACCTTCGTTGTCTCAGATACTCCATAATACGGGGGCTTTAGCTACTCATCTTGGAATCTGAGCAATGTATGTGATGTTGTTAAATATTTTAATATTTATATTTAATGCTTAATTTGCTAAGTATCATCATTTTAAATCTAATACACGGACGGTACAAGATAGCGACCTAAATATTTTTTGTGCACTATCATAACACAGATATTAATAAATGCCTTTTATTTGTTAAAAAGAATACGAAAATAATAGTAGTTTTTATTCTAAATCCAATATGATGGAGTACCTAAGATGGCGGACGAAGTATAAGGTAAAGATAATAGAGTAGGGGAGAGCGGGGCTGAAAGTGCCGGGGGTAAATTGTGCCGATGCCAATATCTCGAAAATGGAAAGAGTTAGATATACGATCGTATTGCGTCGCCTAATGCCCGACAGTTCGGCACACGCGTGTGCCATTTTAGTTGCGTCAACGAAATGGACCGAGTGCCTGTGCATGTGAGAGGTTACCAGCATCATGTAAGTAAATATTTTCGTGTCGATGCTTTTTGGTCGCAAGCTAGAATCTTTTGTGATTTTAATATGGGAGTTTTACTAAAATGCTCGTTATTTATCCTAGTTAGCCTTACAGTGTAATTTTATTGGTTGAAGTTGACAGATTTTTATATGTGAGACAAAATACCACACTTTCATAAACGGGGCAAAAAGTGCCGTTCGTGTGGGGCGGGTTGTGCCGCGGCACAACCAACCCCTCAGTAACGTTGATGGTTCCAGTTTTGTTTGCTTTTACGCGAGCACTTATGAAGAAGAGAAACTCCTTGTTGACGTGATACTTTATTTTGCATTTATTGTTTTTGACAGAATGGAGATTTGTCATACAACACTACAACGCTACGTCAAAAACATACTCCTGCGGTTGGATATAAACCAAGACTAGTATTTAATCAAGAACAGGAGGCACAGCTATACGATACGATTAACATATTAAAAAGCGCATCTATTTACTTCGGTCTTTTACCGCAAGGGGTACGACAACTTGTGTACCAATGTGCCGTGAATTTTGAAGTGTAAAACATACCACAATCATGGCATAGAAATGGTGAGGCTGGCAAAGACTGGTTGACAAACTTTTTAAAGAGAAACCACTCCTCCAATATATGCAACGCATTTAAAAAGGCTGGCATTTGGCCGTATGATTCGAACATCTTTCCAGACGAAGATTATGCACCTTCTTTTGGCACTGATCGTTCGATGCCAGAACCTGTAGCAGACAACTTGCCTGTCCCTGCAAATAATCCTCAATATCTGGATGAGTCCAGTTATGTGGCAAGCAACGTTGAGATTGAGACTAGTCCATCGATACTACAGCCTCTTCCTCGGCAAAGCGACTGCAACGTTGACTAAATAAGTGAACCAGGTCCTTTGGAGCTTCAATTAGCTGATAATAGACAATAATAACAGAGAGGATAAAAGTACAGCAATTTTCTCACCCGAACTAATAAGACCACTGCCTAAAGCACCTCCCCGATTGATTGGACACAATAAAAGACGTAAAAGAAAGACAACTGTTCTCACGGATACTCCAGAAAAAAATGCTTTGGCCGAAAAACAGACTAATAAAAAGAAGAAAGAAAGCGAAGGTACAAAGTAAATTAAAGAAAAAAAAAAGGGAAAGGGTAAGGGAAAGGGCAAGGGAAAGGGCAAGGGAAAGAGCAAGGCAAAAGCTAAACAATTGAAAAACCAGACGAAAAACCCTGCTAAGAGAAGAGTTTTTGCAAGATGGCAGTTCCGATGATGAAGATGACGAAGAAGAATATTATTGTATAATATGTTGTGATGCCTACTCTCACTCCACCCCTGGAGAAAAATGGATAGAATGTGGAGAATGTAAGAATTGGGCCCATTTGCAATGTATTGAAGTTGAAGAAAGCGTAGCCTTTATATGTCCTTATTGGTTTTTTGAGTCATCTGAAAAATAACTAGTTTTGATACCTATATTTTGTGATTTCTTAAAAAGACTTTCAAGAGACTGATTAATATTTAAAATGATTATTATAAGGAAAGATCTGTGTTACTTAATTTTAGAGAAAACTTTATTATTTTTCGTAAAATAGTCTTAAAAGGCTGATATTTTTACTAGTTGATCTCATTCGCATTACAAATAAGTACAAACTATTGATAGAAATATGCTTTGTGTTTGAAATAATTACGTAAGTCAAGATATCTATTTAATTATTATTATAATACCTTAGTATTATTATCAACTAAATCTTAACAAGTATGACGAATAAATATTTGATTGTAAAATTGATGCATTTTAAATTCTAAATAAAATTTTATTCTCGTAAAACATCTAACGTTATCAACGGCACAACCAACCTCAGCTACGGCACAACTTGCCCCAAACGGGGGTTGGTTGTGCCGTGCCGACTTAGCATGAAAACCTCGCTTTTTCTCAAACACCATTAAAAATGTACAATATATGGAAGTATATTCATTAATTGGACTAAATATGGCTTAAGATAAACCATTACGTTCAGACATTAGTACTATTTTATCGGATTTATTAAAGGATTTGTCAAAATCGGCACTTTCAGCCCCGCTCTCCCCTACTTAAGATACTTCTTAACAACGTTCTCTTCGAAGAGAACAAAAGATTGTGCATGTCTCTTTCCCATGATTATTGTTAACATTGAAAACTTTATATATAATAAATAATAATAAAATAAAACCGACTTCAAAAATGTGAAAAATAATGCCCACTTTAAACGTGGTTCAAATTATGTTTATGAAGCTTATTGATGCTAAGCGGAAATTTTGTGTAGGATGTTAATACTAACGCCCACTTAAAGAGAAAAAACAATGTACAATTGTAACTAATATAAAAATACTTTTGGTAGGTAAAGAAAAAAAATAACAAATGTAATCAACATTTGACAGAAATGAAGAATTAACATCTTCTATTAATTCTGTTCTAAACGAAGATTTATGGCCCACGATGGCGATATTTGTTTAATTTAATTACTTATTATTTCCAGCGTTATGTTTTACGACTTCTGGATGGAGCTGTAAAAGATCTCGGCTGGGAAGTGCCTGCTAATGAGAATGTTGTGAGGGCTCAGCAACGGGCCGACTTACTGTCCACGGCGTGTCACCTGGAACAATTGGATTGTCTGGGCCAAGCTGTCAGAATGTATACTAACTGGATGCTGACACCGAACCCGGATGCCTATAATGAGTGAGTTATAATGATAATTTTGTTGATTTTTATTTATTCAGAACCATATACATTGTTTATACAGTAGTTTATTCGTAGTTTATTACATTTTTGCAATAATTGAGTCTTTCCTTTAAAGTATAAGTACTTGTATCATGGGAAACCCGCTCTTTCATAGTCTAGTTTGTAACGAACAAAAATTAATACAAGCTTAGTGCGTGCAGTGTTCTTAAAAGATATACTTGAAATATTAAAGCATAAACAGAAATAGCAGTTAGGTAATGCATTGCCTCAGTAAAAAAGTTAGGTTAGTATATTGAGTTTTAAACCAATATTCGGGATAATGTATTATGATTATCGTTCAATTATAATATTTTTAGAATTGATTACCTATTCGATTAAACGACAGGATTCAACAAAGACAGTATCCATACATTAGCGATAGATGACGCTAGTAGTATTAAAATTAAGTAAAATTGTATCTAGCGGTTATCAACACTTATTTCGCTCATAGTAGATGGCATTACAGTTGTCAAAAGAGATAGTGCTATACAATTTAATTATATTTTTCACCATCATAAAGCTCAAAAAGGAAGAATGTCAACGGGTATGTTGTATATAATGGGTTGTATATTATTTTGTAATTAACATATCTAATTTCAAATTATTTTAAATGTATTATATCAGTTAGTCTCATCTTTATGTCTACGTATTACTTAACTATGAAATTAATTCCTCAGTATTTTTTTATTAATTAACTACTAATAATTTAGTAATAAATCAATTTTGACAAATGACAAAACTCTTTTTTGGTGGTTGTTTTCAGATCAACTTCTGAGATGTGCTGAGTACTTCCATATAATTATACATGAAGCTTTTGAAAGCTATTGAACATTTTTGTCACGACCTTTTAGACTACTACAACTAAACATAAATTGGATAACAAAGTTTCAACGATCTGTCTGAAAGCGACAAATGCAGAGTTTTTCAAAGGCTGCTTTTTTCTATAAAAGTGGGCGATATAACAAAATATTCTGTAATAACGAAAAGACCTAAAAATAACAAGATAGTCTCTTTATTCCTAGACTCGAATACTTTCCCGCTGGTACAGTCGGGTCAACAATATACAATTGTATATATATACAGTACAGTCAACAGACTACATAGGTACAAAACTGGCTAATTTACTCACTCGATTTTAAACCTTAATGTTTGCAGAAATTCGACATATTCTGGTAACCTGACGTGCATGAATAAGCACGTGGTACGAAATACTTATCGGATAAGGGGATGCCGTTGCACCTTCTCCGATGTCAATACCTATGAATATTATGATTTTATACTAAATACAAGTAGCAAGTAGATCGGGTGGCGTAGTGGATAAGTTCCGCGGCCTCCGATCGTTGTTGTAAAGCAACTTTCGCTAAGGTCGGTCACGGGATAGGTGACTAAAAATTATTATCTCGATCTACTCCGTCTTCAGAAAGCACGTTAGGCTTATGGTCCCGGCTACATTTGCAGTCGTTAATACTCCTTAATCCGCATTGGACTAGCATGGGTCATGGGCCATGCATGCATAATGACCTTCCACGTTTAAAGACGATGGGCCATTAGCCATGGCTCATCCTATTTAACCATCCATAAGGTGTGAGAGCCTGTAGTTGGGACGTAAAAGGGCTGATGATTACAAAATATTAGTATATTTCCTTGTTTACAGAATTCATCCTGATATCCGAAGCACAGTATACTGCGTAGGTGTCCAGGCAGGCGGTGAGAGAGAGTGGCGTTTTGCATGGGAACGTTTTCGTATCGCAAGTGCACCAGCCGAACGGGAACTGCTGCTGACTGTTCTCGGTTGTACTAGGTCACCATATCTTCTGTACAGGTATAAAAAATTTAAAAAACGAAAAAATACACTATTTACCACTACTATTTTAATTTACACCCACAAACGGGGTATAATGTCCTGCAGATACTTGTAATAAAAGAAAGCTTAAAAAATCCACTTTGTCCCTGGCACTCTGAGATTATTTTTTTAGCAATATACATGAAGAAGTTTAATTACTGTTTTAATGATTGAGTCTAGTGAATTAGGCAAGTTGTAAAAAAATAAATATAACGTATTTCAACTTTTTCTGAAAAGGTGATTTTTAAATTTAAAAATATTGTACTTATTATTTTATATTCAACTGTCATTGCCATTTCATTGGATAAAACTGTGTTATTATAAATTAATAGTACCGCTTTACATATTCTTTAAAAATTTAGACAGTAGTGTATCATTTTCTCAGCAGTTTGTAATTTCCTATGATATAGAATAAGATTTAGAATCTGACTTCTTCAGATTCTAAATCTAATTCTATCTTAGAGTGTAATCTACGATAGATTAAAACATGACTTTTGTAAATTCGGGTATCTTTTAAAATATCATCGTCTAGCAACCAACCAAAAATATATAGTTTAATGTTTTTGTTTCATAGCTTTTTAGCTTGATAATTTACAAAAAATAATAACCAAGATTTCCAATTAAAGACGGGTTTTAATAAAACCAACAATTGCCGACTTTTGTTTTCAGATACCTGGAGTTGTCTTTAAGAAACGACAGTGGTATTCGCAAGCAAGACACTGTGAGGGTATTCTCGTCCGTCGCTGGCTCAGCGATTGGCCAACCAATTGCTCTAAACTTCGTCCGAGCTAACTGGAAAAGAATGAAAGAATAGTAAGTTTCATTCCTAATAGGAAACTGTATAATCTGTAGAACAAAATAAGAAAGTGGATGTAATAGCGAAACAAATTTATTTGTAGTTTTTTGTTGTCGTAACGTCACTCATATGCCTTTGAAATCATTATCCAATCATCATATCATCGTCATCATCATCATCAGCCGTAACAGGGCTGATGATGATGTCCCCACTGCAGAGTTCAAGTCTTTCTTATGGATGGTTAAGGAGGGTGGACCATAATCCTCTACGCTAGCCCAATACAGACTGGAGGGTATTAACGATTACAGAGCCGAGACCAACGGTTTAATGTGCTTTCCGAAGCATGGAGTAGCTCGGGATAATGATGTTTGGTCACCCATTCCGTGACCGACCCTTGCAAAAATTGCTTGACAACACGACAATCTCCGGGGCCGCGTGCTCTCTGGGGTCCCGGGTTCGATTTCCGGTTGGGTCAATGTAGATAATGTAATTTTCTGTATTGTTTCGGGTCTGGGTGTTTTGGTACACTTTTTGGCATCTTACGAGGGCTTTAACTATTCATCTTGGAGTCTGAGTAATTTATATGATGTTGTCCAATATTTATTATATAATTTATTTATTATACAACGTTCGGGTCACGGAGCTTATCCACTACGCCAACGAGCTGCTCAGTTATGGTAGTGTGTGTAGTGGTAGTAGTAGTGCAGAAGTGGTAAAAGAGAGCACCAATTGTATATCATTTTCACCAGAAGTCTTTATTCGGCACATTAATTATGTATTTTACGGTATCATACATAAGAGACATCGAATATATAGTTATACTATTAACTAGTTTTACTATTTTATAACTTTGATTAATATTGTTTAACCACGGTAAATTTCGTTCTTGGCAGTTATTTATTTGTTATGTATCATTTTAACTATAAAAATTAATCAAATAGGTCCAATCGCAATTACCGATGGACAGAATTTACCTACATTATAACATATATTTACATTTTTTCAGTGTCGGCTCTATATCCACTTTGAATACAATCGTGAAGGTCGTGACACGACGGCTGAATCAACCTCATGAACTTGAAGAGGTGAGATAAGCTTAGCTCTCGTACTACCTAATATTAAAGAGGAAAGATTTGATGTTTTCAATCTATTTTTTCGGATCCTTAACTATCGATTATTAAAATTATTTCACCTATTGAAAGCTGCATCATACGCCAGTGATATAAGAACGGAGACGCAGGAAAACAGTTAGTAAATACATATTAAAGTACATTCAGGCTGTTATATATCTGACAGAACATTATATGACAACATCCATATAATGGAAATGCTCCAATTACATATTTGGAAATTTTCATATTTTTCTTTAGATGTCTGACCGGCACTATATAGATAACAAAATATTTTTAAGATAAATGTACTACTATCTACTTACTACTTACTTCAATATTTTACGAAGGGTGTATACTATCTTACTTAAAACTCTCTTAGACGTAATAATATTTTTTTTTTAGAAAAATATAGAAATTACATATTTTAAAAGTTACTTAATTCAAGCGTCAACCATAGTATTGCGAAAGAAGTTAAACGAACATAATATATTCTCCCAACAGCTCAAGAGGTTTATATCGGAATCGTGCTCGGAACTAGGCAGACCGGTACTACAAGTTCTAGAGCGGACAGCTGCCAATGTTCATTGGATGGAAAACAATTATCAAACAATTGTAGATTGGTTGTTAGCAGCTGATAACGGCACGAGGACATGGTGACGACCTAATAGGAACACTCGTACCACGAACTAGAATAGTACAAAATATCCGCATAGAACTCGATGTAATAATACACGTTAGTTTGTGGCGTATATTTGCTGCCACGTAAATTAGTGGAAAAATAAAGAAGTGTGTTTATGTTAATTGAGAATGGTTGTAATGATGGGAAAAGTATAGACAATGAGTCACCTATTCGTCATACGAGAATTTTCGCATTTAGCGTAAATATGCCACTAGCTATAGTGTGTTACCGTTACTTATTTCATTCTGTTGTAAACGACCCTTTATTTTATTTTTCAGAAGATTTTGTTTATTTGAAATATACCGTTATATCAATAGACTGATTGCTACAAGTTCGGTCTAAAAATCTAAAGAGACTTCTGAGAGTTTAAGAATATCAAGCACTCTGCAAAGACATTTTTCGAGTGAGACTATAAACTTAGTCAAAAAACAAAATTAGACACTATCCTTTCAAAGGACCAAATAGTCTGTTTCCGCAGAGACAGCCAAAGATTATGAATAAGAAAAAAATATTTAAATTTACAAAATTCAATGTAATCGTTTGGACGTAATTAGACAACTAGATCCAATTAGCTTTTGTCAATCTGATTTATCTTATTATTTTTATAAAAATATCAGCTAGATTTAACTTAACCTTAGAATTAATTAAATTATTCTTACTCATGAATTGAATTTAAGAGCCAATTTGCATAAAAATCTTCTTCATGTATTTTTAATTATTTTTCAATCACTTTGAACGCCTATGTAAATAATATCTCTCGCGGGAAAACATTTTCATGATCTAACAAATAACAGTTATATTCTCACAAAAACAAGGTTTATTAGACCTTATGCGAACTATCCAATTCTAGTAATCTAAATAGCAAAATTATTTACTCATTATGATCTAATAATTATAAGGTCGGTGCATATTTGACCAAAGATGCCTCGCGTCTCGCCAAAACTGACAAATATATGAATGTTATTTATTCTCGCACACTCACCGGGTGAACACGTGTGCTAATTTGAATATTTCCGTAAGATGCTTGACGTATCTTCCGTAAAATTTGCATCGATCCTAAAATAGCAGTAATTGCGCGTACTTCATTATTATAACTTGATAACTTAATGCAAGCCTTGTATAATGCGGTCCTTTTATACTTTTCTATTAAGATCTTTCGAGTATCTGAAGCCGTGTGTCAATATTGCGAGGCTGCTCATTTGAGCAGTTGTCAAGATTTAGTCTCGCGGCTAATGGATAGTCTCGTGCTATGCATATCGACAGCACGAGACTATCTATTTGAGCAGTAATTGACTGGATCGCGCCACTCAGTTTACATAAAGCCAACACGATCCAGTCATGCAGTGCTTTTTATGTCGTGAACGCGCGAGTCATTACACATATGCCGTGTTACTCACATGGCGAGGAATGCATCATAAGGCTGCCTCGCAATGTGGATACACGCCTTTATAATTCTTGTAGGAAAAAATTACCTGAGTCTTTTACAAGACAAAGAGTTGTTAGTATATACCACATTTTCGGCTAGACAAAGATCGAGTCATTCGGCTTTATCGCGTGAAGGTAAACCATTTCAAATTTATTAAAAGGTTTAATTTAATTTTCTTACCAAGTCAAAGGCCTATGGGATGTTTAATAAAGAAATATTTTGTAAAGTCTCGTAATTAAACTATATTTAAAGTTTTCAATGTTGAATTCCCGAATACGTTTAATTCATAGTAAAAATTCATAGTTATATAAAAAAATTTCAATGTTTTATCAGTAATTATATGTCAGTTTATCAAAATACTAACATGTGTTTGAATAGAAAAAATAAAGTGTATATAGTTTTGGTCAATATCAATATATATAAAATATGGATATTTGTATTACGAAATAAAAAAAGAATACAAATCCATTTAATAGTTTCAATCCACTAAAACTGTCATTACTTTAAAGCGACATTACCGATACAAAATTTAAAATTAAGAACATTCATTAGAGATTAAACTCGTCATGAAATTGGTCGATAATCTCGTGCCATAAGTTATGTCATGTTATGACGACGCCCAATAGCAAATAGACATATAAAAAGAAATTTTAATTTAAAATTAAATTGACTTTCATAAATGAATTTCATCGATCGATTATTATCATTGATAGTGTAAATTAATGTCACCAATGCTTTATTATGATTGTTATCAAAACAGTTTATTGAGTGACAATATCCTTTGGCAAAATTTCCAAGGTTTAACGAATTTTAATCCACATTCCAATCAATCAAAACCTATCATGAAATGTTAAAAAAGCTTATTTTGTTTAGGTGTCTGAATAATATAAACATTTGTGATAGCAAAATATGCTTTAAAAAGCACCAGTCATCTGAGATTTAAAAATAGATATTTACTGATTGATAATTAAAAAGATACTATAATTATTGTATACAAAACAATGTATCGACAGTTAAAACAATACTTATTGGAATATAAACCGCTATTCACTCAAGTGCTTGCAAAAAAACATATGTAGTTTGTCAAACGCTTATGTTGATGAAATATATTTGTTAGACTAGGCGCGCACTGACGATTTTTTTCTATCGTTACTTATTGTTACAGGATCTTGTTATAATTGTCACGAAAACAATTCTCAGGCACGGTGATAAGAGAAAAAGTCACTGTCATAAAAAGTCAATAGTGTGCTCGTAGCTTTACTGTTCCGATAGTTTATATCGTAGATAATTCTCAAAAATAAGAGAAGGTCGAGGCAGAACCATACTCATACACTTAAAGATACTTTGTATGTTGTGTGGTGTAATGACATAAATATATTCGTTTTATTCTAATGTATGAAACAAAACGCGATAGCGACGACAATGACAAAATATGACTCTTAACTTACACCGCCACTGTCATGAGTATATTAAAACCTCTTTACATGTATTTTGTAAAACATAAAAATTATATTAGTAATTAATTATAATAGTACAACCATCTTTGTTTATACTTTAGCATTATAAAATTATATTAAATATAGGTATTGAGATACATTTGTACAAGCAAGCTACGAGTATTTAAGTATATTGCGTTTTCCTTAGCATCATATTTTGGGTCGATCATCTCTGATGTCCCGGGTTCGAATCTCGGTTGGGTCAATGCAGAAAATAAACTTTTCTACATTGTTTCGTGTGTGCATGTTATGGTACCTTCGTTGTCTCAGATACTCTTTATTGCGATAAAATTTATTAATATTACACAACATCGCATACATTGCTCGGATTTCAAGATGAGATCAAAAAATAATTCTCGTACAACATTTGATATTATTCGTTGGATATAGCCTTTTTTTTAACTATTGGTATCGATTCTAAACGAATCTCAAAGTCACTAGTCAAACAAACTCTCCCTTTTTATAGCTGCAACTGAATTACAAAAAACAATTTCAAGCTATAACGAATTATTTTAAGTACACTTTCGCAATCAAGGTTTTTAAAGTTAAATTAAATTAAGTAGATAATTTATTCTAAATTTAATTTATTAACGAAATATTTACGCAATTTTGTGTTCACAATTATTATAGTAATTAATATTTAGCTAAATTTATATAATTCGCATGCAATGAATATTTTCTTTAGTATAAAATCTAAGCATATAGATGTTAGTTTAATTAATTGACATTATATTTTAAACCTTTAGATGTTCGATTAAGGACTTTTTTTCAGTATATACCAATATTAACATTTAAAAATTTATTCCATTGATAGATTTAGAAAAAATGTCACCGTGTCCTATCTTTAGTTTACGTTTGATATGATATTATTAATTTGGGTAAAGTTTCAATTATTGTATGAGGACTGAAAAAATGGCCCTGAGTGAAATATACTTTTTTACATTGTGTAATAAAATATTAAATTAATTTTTGTAAATAAATGCTTCAGTTTGGAGAAATATCGTCGATGTTGTTTCATTTGACAACAACTCCTCTATGGCAGGATTTTTTTTTCTAAATAAACGAGAAGCTATTCGATGCTTCTCGTTAATGCATGTAAATGAAAATATAATTTATGAAAATTCGGTTTAGTAGAAAATTTCGGAAAATTCAACATATTTATAATTTTATTACAATGATTATGTAAGATAATTTCGCACCAGATTTTTTTTTTATTGCATCATAAATGATCGAAAAATTTATATTTTGGGAGATTATTTCTCACCTTGTCAAATTAATTAATTATTTTATAAACTGCAGGTATAATTTATCATTTACTTGAAGGCGGCAGCTCGCATTGGCGCAATAATTGTTTACATCTCTATTGTAACTAAAGTCAAAGTCAAATATGTATTTTTTCTTAATGAGTGTTCTGGCAGATATAAGATAATCTTAGGTCACCGTATTATCCAAATACTGGTTTGAGTGAGCATGAAGGAATTTGTGAAATTGTAAAGTATGTTCTTATCTTTAGAGGGGGATCTATTTTTTTATTTTTTTTATGATGTTTTCAAAATAATGTTTAGAAGATAACAATTATTATTTTGAATTCATAATAGCATATTAGTATTCATATCATTTTTCGCTGAAAATATAAATTATTTTGAATTACAATTTAGTATTTTTAATTAGAAATTGAAAGTATTTGAAACTTATAAAACAACGAAGAAAATTGTTCTGAAACTAATATAAATGTTGTGAGAATTTATGGCCGATTGTGGTTAGTACCTAGTTCTGCTCCGACGTATTATATCGTGTATCTACATATAGCATCTGCACTGACGATATTTCAAGAACATAATGAGAATATTTTGACGTTAGGTGTAATTTCAATACATTATCACCAGTAAAGATTGCCGGCATGGTAATGGTGTGTTATCAGAAATGGCGTGGCAATAACTCAACGAGTCAATATAATAATATCATGAAAAATTCGGATTTTCACATTGGAACACGTATTTTTTATTACACGTATTAACGCTATGAAATAAGTTTATTCATATCTCTGATAACGTTATCTAAAAGAGAATTTTTAAAAGCTCTAAATAACCGCTGCACACTGAATTATAAAAGAGACATTTATATTGTTGGACGTCATAATAACGAGCCTGTTCCAAATCAACCAAATTGCACTGGGTCCTCGTTGTGGGACTTTTCTTCGTATACGATTCTATCCATAGGGAAGGTCTGGGACTCAAATTAACTAATTATTAAGTAATAATAGAATCTCAATGGAATCTAAACTACTTAAATTTTGCCACTGTAGGGTTGCTGCTAATAATATTGAGGTCCAATATTATTCGTGCAATGTCTTCCTTACAAATTAATGGTTTAAGATATATATATTTTTTTAAGTACTAACAAGATCTGAAGTCTCGACAGAGTTTGTGATTGTAATGTAGCGATCGCAGAGTTCACTGACCGAGCTGTAAAACTCGACCACTAGGAAACCAACGAATGTCACTAATTTGCAAATTTTGATTCACGCTCAATAAATAATGATATACTCAGCTGCATAGCTTGCAATAATCATTATATTACGATCGCTATGAGTTAGCGACCGATCTCAAAAAAGATTGCAATCGCAAACTCTGTAGAGACTGCAGCCCCTGATCTAATTGTAAGCTTCTTCTGGAATTTAAAACCTCAGACGCTATGTTCGATTAACGGCGGCTTCGATACTGAAAAAGTACCTTCTATATTGTTGTCGGGGTGCTATGGTACTTTTGTTGTTTCAGTTTTTTATAACACAAGGGTTCTTACTGCTTGGGATCTGAGCAATGTATGTGTTATAGTATCATCAACAGCCTATTAATATCTCCAACGCTGGGGCTCAAGCCTTCCCCATACGGAGGAGCTCGAGTTAACAAATTTTTGATCACCCATCCTATGTCCAGCCCTTGCGAAAGTTGCTTAACAACTATATCTCAGACCAAGTGCGCTAATCACTGTGTGACAGTGTAATATTTATTCATATAAGAAAGCCAGCCAGCCACTTACTCATTTTAAGATTAGGACCTGCTTTTGTATATTTGAAGAGTTATGAAGACGTGAACTTTCACACATCACACTTTGGTACAATGGTATTAGTTTTGCCATAATGCAACGATTGTTAACGGTAAAATAATATAATTGCCTATAAGTCGGTTAGAACGTTTTGAAATGCCAAATGGCAAAAACCCTCGTCTTCTGCCCTACTTAATTTTTTACAGCTGGGAAAAAACATTATTCGTTTATATAAACTCTAAGAGATCGAGAAGAGTTGAAAAGAGAGGAAGAGTCTTATATTTCACAATGCTACCAATAAAAGAACATACAAATGTTCACCCATCTTTTGATAAACATTTTATGAAAAACGTTTCTGTTATCAATCAAATTACCTACTTTATTTAGGAAATTAACGCACCGTTATCGAGTCTGCCTCTGATAAAATATCGAATCGCGATTAATATACACACGGGCGATACATTATCGCAGTTTTTGTACAATTCTGATATATTTTCATAATTTAGATTACAATAATCCAGTTGCCGTTGTTCGCGAAGAAGTTTGGGAGGATCGCGAAGGTGAGTATGGAAAAATAGTTTATAACTCTTTATAATTACGAGGATATAGATTGTGGTTACTTTTCAATGAAATTAATGTAAGTAAAACCTAGATCTCATGGTCCCAGTAAAATTTGAACTTTTTCCTATAGACAATAGCATCAGCCTTTTCTGTAATCGGTGTTAAACGTTATTTCAATGATTTTTAGGTTTAAAATTGGTAAGCTATTTTTTAGCTACTTTGATAGCATGAAGAATAGGCCACTAATACCCAGTTTATTAAGGTGTAATGCCGACTTTAAGCTTTTATGAATGTCCTAAATTTTGAAAATTTTTATATGTGACGTCACATTAAACTAACGGGTTTTTTGTAGACACTTTTGTGTGTTCGCAAGCTTCAATAGCCACCAGATTTTTATTTAAAAGTGCAATAAAATATACGTTCAAAAGCGGTTCAATGAAATATGTATAACATATAGGTATATAATCTTAAAATCCGCAAATTAGGAAATGAGCTTCATTTGCCCTTGTGCTGATAATTCTGGAAACTTATAAAAAATCAGTTATATGACTTTTAAAGCATCTTTTATTGTTATTTATGGACCTTCATAGGCTAAAGATTGACTTTTCTCCAAGTTTTGGACTTGGGGAATACGTAATCAGGGCGTGATCTAGAGGATAACAAGCCAAATGTCTCGAAAAACGGAACGGCAAAATTGTGCGTGCTACGCTTTTATTTATAGTTTTAGTAGTATAGTGATTAGTGTTAGTATAAACGGCGGCAAATATTACTTAAGGCCAAAGCCCAACAATACTATTCTGTAAAAAATAAGTATCGAATTGAGGACAGCGCTTTCATAACGTTCAATGTAATAACAACCTATTTTTTAGGTAATAAAGGATTTTATTTAATAATAAATTATATTTTTAATAGAATTGCATAGCTAAATGCAACGTTATTCACTTGTTACTAGCGATGCAGAGCACAAAATCTAGGCCACCAATGGTTTTCATAATCCATTTTTAGTAAATATCAGGATTGTTGGTGATTTATTAGTAAATTATAAATATATAATAAGTATGGGACATACATTATATTAGAGTTATTTATGATATGTATATGGTATTTATGGTTTTATATTATTTATTGACAACGATTGCGCTAATAGTTAAGGCGGCTTAAATGTACCCTTGCTAAAGTCCTTTTAATTAAAAGTCAGTAAGTGATACCACCATAAACAAGACTACTTTTATCCGAAACAACTTTTTCAGTACATTTTACTTATATAAATAGATAACATGAAACAAATCTTGGATCTACTTTTTGAAGAACGGGGTAGATAGATTTTATTTTAGCATATATCTTCATATCGTCAGCGAAGCATAGAAGATTTGAGTACTTGAAGCAACTTCCTATGTCATTAACACATATGTTGAAGAGGAGAGGTCCCAGCAATGAGCCTAAGGCTTCTCCGCTAGGTATAATCACCCAACTTCATACATGATTGTTTATGACTACTGCTTGAGACCTGTTATCTATGTAGGATGAAAACCATCTCAACAAGTCACCCCTAATACCGATCCGAGCTCGTTTGGAAAGAAGAATGTCGTGATCATTTATATCGAACGCTTTTGTCTAGTCAGTATAGATGACGTCTATTTGAGATTCGTCATCCACAGATTTTAATATACATTCGTTAAGTAATATAAGATTAGACACTGTAGACCTATGACTGATAAATCCGTGCTGGTAATAAGCTAGAGAAGCATTTATAGAGTTGAATAAATAAGCATTAATATATTTTTCGAGTACCTTTGCCACCACCCACAACTTAGAGATACGCCTATTATTGATCACTTCAGTCCTAGCCTCCTTTTTAAAAACAGCTGTAACAAATGACAACTTCCCCATATTTTGTACTTTGCATTCAGACAGGAACGGGCGAAAAAGAAACGGGCTTAGTAATGCTGGCAGCATAATTGACCAAGAATTTGGTTGAAACATGGTCTGGGCCTGCTGATTTTCTTGTGTCAAGTAAGAACTATAACACTGAAAATACCAGAACGGTATCAATACTCTCGTCAGAGTCGAAACTTAAACGACCTGTTGTTCTAGGTAAAAATTTTTTTTTAAAGTACTTCGAAAAAGCATTGTAAAATATTGGTATATGTGTTAACTATTGTGTCCCTATATTGAAGGCTACTCGGCATACTACCAACGTCGGAACGAGATTTGATAAAAGACCAAAAAACCTTTAGGCTGAATAGTTATGAAACCTTCAATAAGTCGAGTATAATTATTTGTAAAATTTTGCTACATACAAGTTTTCGAATGGAAAGTTGAAATGCAAATTTTTTTATGTTAGATACTTATTGCTCTATGAAATGAAAGGAAATTAAAAAAAATGAAAAATTGCATCGTTGATTCATAAAAAGAAACGCAAATAAAGAGATAAGAAAAATAATATCGGTTAAAAATTTCACATAGTTATGTTAAATAAAAAAGCTTTATAATTTATTATAACAACGCGTGTTATCGGAATGTGACCTAACAAACCTAAAAAATGAAAAAGAAGTTATACGTATGTTAATATTTAAGAAAAAGCCGTATTTAAGATCATGCCCAGCAACGCTCGGTTCTGGCTTCCTAGATTTAGTGCTAAAATATAGGATATAATCTATATAAGCTATAAATATGTTCGTTAAGTTCTAAAAAAGTAATTATTCCTGTTCAATAAGTAATTATCCCTTTCATTTTAAATAAGTAATTGAAACTAATTAATAAGTAATTTATAAGTGTTTGAAACAATTTCTGTGGAATTTTGCAATATCCATGGATGTCCAGATGGCACGGAAACCTACGAAATTGCCACATGGAAATATGTTGTTTTTCACAAAAAATACAAAATATATCAAAGTAATGTGACTATTATTTTTCTATTACCAAAAGCTTATAACATGCTTAACAGTTATATTTTTATTACTTAAAAAAAGCATTTAACATCTAACCACAGATACTTAACTGAAATTAGGCACTTAATTTTATTACCAAAAGATCTGCAAGATGATCCACCACTGTTTCCACTTCCTGTCAAGGCACAACTGTTCTTTGCCGGCCTATATAAAGTCACTAGCATTCGCCAGCGGCTTCGCATGCGTGGACCCTAGGGAAATGTTTAGTGGGATAAAAAATTACTTCTAAGTCAGCTAATACCCTATCTGTATACCAAATTTCATCAAAATCCGTCCAGTAGTTTCGGCGTGATTGACCGACAAACATCCAAACATCTAAACAACCAAATATCCAAACAAAGAAACTTTCACATTTATAATATTAATAGGATGACCAGAAGGTAGGAACGGTAAAACAAAATGACCATGAGAATTTACACTTTCGATCAGGCAGAATTATCGTAGACTATAACTATGAGACAAAAATTCAAATTTTATTACCTTCTGTTAAGCAAACTAATACTTAACACTTTAAATATACTTTTGCCATGTTTGTTGGAGAATACTGTCCTGAGGGCTCGTTTGTGTGAGAAAGTAATTGTGGACAATGCATGAAAATTAGAAATTGGCTATTTATATTTTTTTTCTTAAAAACGAATATAATTGAAGCTTCATTTGCATACAGTTTTTTTTTTTTTTTAAATAATGTGGTGGACGCGTATAATTTACGCCTGATAAATTCGCTCACATAATTTAAATTATAATTTATTAATATTTCAGACCCATTACTCAGTTTGCTCTTATCGCATGATAAGTTTACGATAAGTAACATACAATTATTATGATAACTTATTGCCGTGTTTATCGCTGATTAATGTAAAAAGAAACGATTTGGTTGATTTTCAAGAAAAACATTCAAACTTTAGATGTGGAGGGTAAAAATTATCACCAATGCGCCAGCTAAAGAGATGTGGAAATAATAGAATAATTTCTACTATGATTTAACTGCCAATTACGCAGCATTTGAGTATATCATAGAACCGTTGCGTCACTTCCAGCCAGTTGCACAGAAGTTTATTAAAATTATCATTAATGTGAAGTGACATTATCTATACAAATTTGATATTCTTTAAAAATAAAAGTCGCCATTAAACCTTAAATATAACAAATTAAGAAAGAATTGATATTTTCCGAATTTCCGTTCGAGGACAAATATAATAGGCCCTCAGATGTCATGTTGATTCGTACTAGTTATACAATAATTTTTTATTACTCATTATTCTCTAATCGAAAGAAAGTTATGAAGTTTGTACGGTTATAACAATTACTCGTACAAACTTTGTATATTTTGCAGCCATATATTTAGACTACAAACTTAAAACTTTATGAATTTTTAATAAATTAAATGGCCATTTCATATTTAGTTTATAGTAGACTTTTACTATGTATATATTATAATTATAACATTTCAGATGGCGACTTTAGGTCTCATAGTATTAGTAACAGCATGTTGGGCAGTTCACGCGTTTCCAGAAACTCCTCGTCCATATAGAAATACTATATTTGTAGATGAAAAATTAGAAGGAGAAGTATTTGAAGATGTAGACGCTTTTAATGATATAACACTATACAATACTGCTAACAACCCATTCCGACTGCCTACAACGACAAGACCGCAGCACTACAACATACAATGGATTATTAATATGGAACAGTTATGGTTCTACGGTACTGTAGACATAGAACTATACGCCACAAGTCCAAATGTGAATGAAATTGTGATTCATGCTCACGACTTGAACATAACCTCATTGAGTTTACGACAAGACACTACGCCAGTGTATCAAACATACACGCTTGAACCAGAATTCCACTTTCTTCGCGTCAGACTCACTAGTGGTTCTCTCAATTATAATGCTAACAATCCTATTATATACACTCTTTCCATCAGTTTTGATGCACCGCTGAGAACTGATATGTATGGCATCTACAAAAGTTGGTTCAGGAATGTTTACACTGATGATGCTAGGTGAGTGATATATAGTATCATCATTTGTAGACTGAATACTTCTATCATTTTATTAATAAAACAATTGGAAATAACGACTTGGGAAACTAAAGTTCTTATAACTTATTCCATTAGACGATATAGTGCGGCATCAATGCCTTCTTAAACAAGTTATTTAACTGTCAGTAGTGTCAGTTAATCATTCCAGAAGAAGATGCATAAGTACCGAGTTATTTGAGTTAGTTCGTGTTGCTTTGTCACCAAAGTAAACATTTGTAATCAGATTTTTATATATTTTATTAACCACACTAATGCAGCCATTGATTTTTTCCTTGCTTGTTCTTCTTAGTGGAGAGTATGTTAACGTACATTAATGAACCGATTCATCCTTCGTTAACACCGATCAAATACATTATAAACTGTTATAATGATTTTAGATGGATGGCATCTACTCAATTCCAAGCAACAGCAGCCCGCTTCGCGTTCCCTTGTTATGATGAGCCAAGTTTCAAAGCAACATTCGATATATCTATTGGTCGTCCACAAAATTATACAAGTTGGTCATGTACCAGGCTTGAAACGTATTCGAGTTATGAGATCAACAATGAAACGTGCGTATTATTACTAAATAAGTTCCGTGATAATCCGGATCTTCATTATTCATTATTAACCAAGGGGAAGGGGGGGGAGGATTCCTTTTTACTCTAAAAATTAAGAACTGATCAAAACCAAGGGGTAAAAATCAGAAATCATCTTACGTAATAAATAGATGATGCTAAATCCGAAAAAATCACTTTTGATATTATATATAAATATTTTGGTAAATCTTCACATTTCCCGAGTATTTTGTACGTTCTATCGATCTCTTGATGACATTGTTGGTGGTTTAATGAAGTAAAAAGCGACTATGGAAATATAGAGAGACGTAGAAAGTTTTAGACAGTACTCCATCGGACAAATTGGATAATCCTACATCGCCATGCTAAGCGTTTGACGGACCAAATATTTAGCCTTGCTTCAAAGCTTCATACTATATATATTTGGATTGGCATCAGAGCCAGTAACAATGAAATAATAGTCTTAAAATCTTGTAACCTATAAATATTGTTGAAAGATACTGTTAACTGCTTTTTATAAGCGTTTTATGCAATATTTATTCAAAAATGTGTTCATTAAAATTAAACTTGAGATTCGAGAAAAGTTCGAATATTTTTAAACTACCACGAGGCGTTTCAATCTGTATGTATAATGTGTTCATTGCAATTACAGCACTTATATACTGGATAAGTACTACAAAACACCCGTTATGTCAACATATCTTTTGGCGTTAATTGTTGCTGAATATGATACAAAAGAAGCATTTGGTATAAATCCTCAAACAAATGAAACTGTTTTAAAATACGAAGTTATTGGAAGACCGGGTGCAATGGAAGAAGGACAGGGGAATTTTTCTTTTGATATCGGACAAGCTCTTTTGAGTGAGATGAGCTCCCATACTGATCTAGATTTCTTCAGTGTTCATCAGCACCTTAAAATGACTCAGGCTGCTATTCCTGACTTCGGTGCTGGAGCCATGGAAAATTGGGGATTACTTACATACAGGTAAGTAACAAAAACACGAAATTTATTCAAAAGATTCTAAGTAATGTATTATTATTTGTATGTTGCTATAAAAAACAAACTTTAAAGTCCTTCCAGTTCCAAATTGAAATGCCAAAGTTAATTTAGATTTATATCTACCTAACAATAAACAGTCATGTTATTGTGAATTATTCAATTTTCAGAGAAGCTTATTTGATGTACGATGAAAATCATACTAATAGCTATTTCAAACAATTGATTGCTTACATTCTTTCACATGAAATAGCTCATATGTGGTTTGGAAATCTTGTTACTTGCGATTGGTGGGATGCCTTATGGCTTAATGAAGGATTTGCCAGATACTATCAGTATTATCTAACTCACTGGGTAAGTAGAAAATATAATGAGTTTTTACGTGTAATAAAACAATTTGTTAGTATTAGGTTGGATAATCATAGCTTATGTATTATATGAAAAAAAAAATCGTTAATATTTTCATTTAAAAAAAACAGGTTGCTCCCGAAATGGGTCTCGCCACTCGTTTCATAACGGAACAGATTCATACAGCCTTGCTCAGTGACTCAGCTGATAACCCTCATCCACTGACTAATCCAGGTGTGGGAAGTCCTGCCTCTGTTAGTGCCATGTTCTCTACTCTCAGTTACAATAAGGGAGCAGCAGTTATCAGAATGACAGAACATCTAATGGGTTTCGAAAATCATTTACATGGTCTGCGAAGATATATAAACACAAGGTATGACTTCTAAGATCACTCCATATTATCTTTGTTGATACTTTCGAATATATGTATAGTCAAATTTGAAAGAAAATTTAGAGTTTAATTTTCAAAATTATATTAAGTTTTTGTACTCGATCTACAATCCACACCGCTTTTCGTTTATCCCGCATTTTAGTATGCAAACTGCGAAAAATTTATTTTTCTAAAGATTTGATCATTTGCATCTGAATCAAAGCAAAAATCCGAATCAATTAATGCTTCATTAGAACCTATTGGCTTATTTGGATCAAAATTCTCTGCGATCGATGCTTAATCTTAATCTTGTTACGGATATATTTAAAAATTACCTAAGGTTTTTGATTAACCTTTGATAGGGAATTTTTGTTTTAAAAATATAATGAAATGATTTTCGTACCAAGATAAAACAAAATTACGCTTTATATTTTTTATATTAAGAAGTTACAAAATACACTTAAAATCGAATATATATTCCTTCATACTTTGTTCAGGTTTGGGAATAAATATATATAATAAATATTTGTTTATCTATGAAATATTATAAGATGATTTAATTATTCAAATTGAAAAAAAAGTAATGTATACATGAAAATACCCATTCTGTCGCTATTCCTTCCTAAAAAAAGAACTCTCAAACAAAAGTTTTTACCTCATCAAACTCTCTTCGGGAGTAATTTCCAAGAGTGCATTCTTAATAGAGTCAACAGCATGTCTGGTTATACAAATCTGTCAAATTTTCTTACTTGATTTTAAACCTTAATGCATTGGAGGAAGAGTTGTAAATCAATCACGATAATTTGACTTATTGTGGTAACCTAACGAACTGCTGTGTGTACATATATTCCTACTTAATAAGAGAAATGTACCCTACAAACAATAAGTCTCTAGATCAGCGGTTAATCAAAAATAATCAGAGTCAGTTTAATCTCGGTTTATTTACAGGAAATTCCAAACTGCTCGACCTATAGACCTCTTTGAAGATCTCCAAGCATCAGCTGTGGAAACCAATGCAACTGTAGAATACGGACCAGATTTTAATATAATTGACTATTATAAAACGTGGACTGAACAGGCTGGTCATCCAGTACTTAATGTAGCAGTTGACCATCAAACCGGCATTATGACCGTCACCCAGGTACAATTTTTTTATTGTTTCTCCTTTGAATGTTTGGAAGGGTCATATAAGAGCATATGTAATCAATCAAATGACTTACTGACTACGTTAAATAATCTATATATTATTGCCAATGTTTCTTTTATTGTGGCCATGACAGGTAGCATAATATAAATATAAATAAAACGATTATTATCTTTAAGTTCACAATAGATTTTATTTATTTACTTATATAAACTTTTAAAGTACTACTCAGACTGCAGGCAACATATTACATTATTTTTCTTTTAGTAACATATTTCTACGTTTATTTTTAGCGTCGTTTCAACATCAACACCGGTTATTCTGTAGCCAACAGTAATTGGATCATACCTGTGACATTCGCCACTGCTAGCAATCCTGATTTCGAGAATACCAAACCTACTCATATAATCACAGACTCTTTGACGTTCATCAATCGTACCACAACTGGTGATGAATGGGTGATCTTTAATAAGCAACAAACAGGTAACTATTTCCCGCGAGTCGGACCACTCGGATTCAAGGCTTGACAATGTCTCTAATATATTGCGGAGCCATGAATTTATCCTCCTTCCAACGTTTCCCTTCGTAAGAATATACCCAATATTATAAGACTGAGAAGTTCATATTTTCAATGTCAAAAAATGTGATCCACATAGGTGACTTTTGGTCATTCAATTGTGAGCGTTAGTATTATTTAGTCAATATAAGTTTCAAGAATTTCACGTCAGTCACCATATGAGTCCAGTCTATATTAAGATTATCAATAAGATTGTTTTCATATTCCTACATAAAAACATATGAAATTATATTCGTATATACGTCAATCTTAGTACTCACTTTAATCATCCATCATCAGTGCAGGGGCACAGGCCATCCATATTAAAGATATATTGAAGGGGATGGGCCATGACCCTCCACGCTGGCTCAATGTGGATTGGAGGGGATTAACGACTGCTAATGCACCCAGGACAAATGGCTTAACATGCCTTCCGAAGCACGGAGTAGCTTGAGATTACAATTTTTTGGTCTCCCATCCCGTGACCAACCTTCGCGAAAGTTGCTTAATAACAACGACCGAACAAGGAACGGGGTTGCTTAACTACAGCCAGAGAACTACCTTATACTGCTTATTTTTTTTTTTATATTCAACAAAAACTATACACATATATAGTTCAACGTATTGTTAACTAATTATAAGGTACAGTCGCTTAATAAGGCCCACTTTTCAACCGCTGGTGTGCTAAAAACCTAGTAATATTTATTTTTATAATAGTCCTACACTGATAGATTTGATGGTATAATGAAATTTGAAGCTGTATCAAAAGGTTTTTGTGCACTTAAGCGGTCAAATACAGTGGGTCTTATAAGGCGACAATAGCTTATATGCTTTTGCACAGGTTACTATAGAGTGAATTATGATGATTATACATGGGATCTCATCGTCATGCAATTAAGGGGACCTAACAGAGATGTCATTCATGAATATAATAGAGCTCAGGTAAGCATGTTAATTGAAGTATTGTTATTGAAGTTTTGTTTCTCATTTCAAAGCAGAACGATAGGATTATGTTATTTTTAATACCATTAGCCTTCTATTCACCAGCCCTTTAATTTTGTGTATCTAATTTTTAAAGAGCTCGATTGCGCAGTGTTTAGCGCGCTCGGTCTGCGATACGGTTGTCATGCAATTTACGCAAGAGCCATCTGAATAGGATGTGTGACCAAAAAAATATTATCAGGAGCTTCTCCATGGTTCGGAAGGCACGATAGGCCATTGGTTCCGACTGCATCTGAAATCGTTAACCTATCCATCAATCCGCTCTGGGCCATTCTCCCTATTCGATTTTTTCGATTACATCTTGAGGGTAGGCCTGAGTCCCAGCAGTGGGGACATTAATGGTAATTATGATGTACTATAAAAAACAGTCAAGAACGAGTCAGAATCGTGTACAGAGGAACTTGCACAAATATTAAATTTTATAATAAACTATATAGATTTTCCGATATCCGATAATCTTCAGATAACTACTAAGCCCAGCCCTTATGAATTGTTAAGGAGCATGGGCCATGACCCTCCACGCTTCCCCAAGGCGGATTGGAGGCTATTAACGACTGCAATTGCAGATGGGACCAGCAGTAGATCCACCTTCCGAAGTACGGAGTAGCTCGAGATTACACCTTTTTGTATTTATAATATCGTAGGTAACTGATAAATTACGGCGAGTTCCTGAAATATGAGTACTTAGCGGTCCCGGTATATATTATCGTGACATTTAGTTAACATTAATTTTTTTTTCAACAGATCGTAAACGATGTTTTCCAATTCGCTCGATCTGGCTTAATGAACTACACCAGAGCGTTCAACATACTGTCTTTCCTTGAAAATGAGGATGCATATGCACCTTGGTTGGCTGCTATTACTGGTTATAATTGGATTAATAATAGGGTTATAGGTACACCACTTGAAGGTCCTATGAACGTAAGTATTTTTACTTTTTTCTTTTAAATATGTAGCTTTAAATATGCAATGTTTACTTTTATTCAACTAAGATAACTGTGGAAGTGATGAAATTAATTTTATTTTGATTAGAAGAAGCTTTATCTTTCTTTGAAATTAAACAAATCAGAATATTTTTAACGAAAAATGCTTAAATCCACCAATCTCAGATATCTTAGTATACCTTAGTTTGGCTAGTTTTTTTTTTGAGGTCATTGTTGTAAAAAGAGTTGTAATTTTACCTTTTCTCCACCATCATCAATCATCTTCCACTCTTTTAAGAAAGAGAAAATTTCTGATAAGGCGCTGTTAAGTTTCTTTCACTTGCTGTTCTTATTAGTCAAAAACGTCCTGAACGAGTGGTAGCGAAAAAAATTTGGACGATACAAAAGTGCTTGTCATAAGATTATTGGAATAAAAACATCTCATGTTCGTTTTTAATTGTTATTAAAATTATGTTATGTTTTGATAACCATGGTTATTTATAAAAGTTTATTCTCAGAATGCAGCTTATTTTTTTTTTCAGACTTTATTCATGAGCTGGGCTACAAACGTCATGACTTCCCTTACATATAATCCTATACCAGGGGAGTCATTTATGAGATCCTATTTGCGTTACCAGCTTGCTCCAGTTATGTGTCGCCTTGGCAATAATCTATGCTTGACGACAGCTGCTACAAAGTTTTCGGCTTTGAGCACTGCCCCATTCACGCAGTATGTTTTTTTTTTAATTTTCTTCAAATAATAATTTGTCAACAATGTTAAAAATGGTTTTAAAGTGTCGTCATTTCTGTAGCCATGTTTTTAATCTCCGGTCGGGCTAATGTAGAAGATGAAATTTTCTATATCTTGGGTCTGGATTTTGTAATATCTTCATTGCTTCAGATTTTGGTAATAGCCTTCTATTACCGAAAACCTTATTGGGTTTTGAACAATGTGCGATTATACAATATATCTATAATTTATCTACAGATATTAATGGGCTTTTTATTTATATAATAAAAGAAAAATTGACAACCATATAAATAATAGCCCATTAATATAATAGTAATATTAATTAATTATGGTTACTTCTATACTTATTTTAGCCTCCCGCACAAACCAAAAACCTGTAAACGAGTATTTTATAAGTGGCTACCTAATAATCATATCTAGTTGAATAAATTGACATTAACATAACATAAAATAGACTAACCAACTTATCGCTTTAATGCTTTTATTTATGTGGGCTAATTATTTAGCTTAACGTTGTTTTCCCGTGTAAATTATAGCTTATATCAGCATCTAATAAAGTAGCTTTCCGTAGGTGAAAGAATTTTTATGATCAAATCAATATTCCTAAAGATTATCCACTACATACCAATACAGTTAGAAAACTTAGCCTCTTTATAAATTAGTTTATGTAGTAGTTTAGCTATTAACGTAAGTGTATTCATATTTTTGTTCACGTTTATGCAGAGTACCAGTGGACAGTCGCAATTGGGTGTATTGTAATGGCCTCCGGCAAGGCCTATTCTCAGATTATGAATTCCTCAGGAGTAGATTCCTAAGCCACAATGTCTACACTGAGAAGATTCAAATCTTGATGGTTTTGGGATGTACTAAAGAAACAAATGCCTTGAAAGAGTAAGAAGTCATTTTTACAAGTTTTCAGCAATATTTAATTTTTTCGTAGCATATAAATTTGATGGATCTATAAAAGAGTGCTATCGTTATGTTAATTGCTTTGGAAAAATTCAAATCTCATTGTAGCAAATGTATAACACAGTACATTTATCTATTATTTTTTGTTAAAGTACCATTGGCTTTTTGTACATTCTTACGAAGTTGGTCCATGTTATGTATGACTCAAAATTATGTAAGTTTTTATTGATTTTATACATTTTAGATTTATGGACTACATTGTTGATGAAAATTTTGTAATCCGACCTCAGGATTACAACACTGCTTTCAACTCAGCCGTCACAGGAAACGAGAATAATACCAATATTATTTTCGATTACGTAAAAGAAAATTTAGATAGAGTTGCTAATGCGTAAGTTTTTTTACTAACAAAATTATTTTTGTCGTTAGCCTCTGATTAGCACGTTTTACCATTGGTAATACGTGCTTTTTTCCTTTGCTTATAATAATTGATCTTTCTTATTTGCACTTAATCTTTTTATAAGGATCTTCTTTGGACTCTAGCGAATATATGAAATATAAATTGCCAGAATTGGTTCAGGTGTTTTAGAGTTTTGTGCTAATCAAAACATTCAAGTGATTAATTTTTATTGCCAGTAAGACAGATACGGATAAAAAAAAAACCCGCAATGCCAACCTGTCACAGTTTATTTGCTTAAAGTAACTTGCTTGTTGATACTTACACCTATGTATTACGGCAATATCAAAAATGGATGAATTTCAAACAAGGCGATACTGTTGAAGGTAGATTATGAAATAGAGTTAAAATGTATATTGAGAAATATATATAAATATAAAAACAGTATTGCCAACTATATAATGTGACCCATAAATGAATTTATAATTGTGTAATATGACATATAATGTGAAAATAAAAAGGAAACATAATAAAAAAGACTTTTTTCAATAAAGTATGATGATTTGTTTGTATGAATCTCAAATATATATATTTTTTAATTAAGAAATCTTAATTTACTAATTGAGTTATTATTTTCAGATTTGGATCGGTGGTAAATCCTCTTTCCACCATCGCGTCTAGACTTAGGACTCAAACACAAGTAAATGAGGTTAGTGAAATTTCGCAAATTTTATTGCTTTAATAAGCAATCAGATAAAATTTTTAAAGAGGGTCTTAATATTTTTATAAGATAATTCTTACATATATAGGTAAGACATAAAGGTTATCTTGAATCGTTAAAAATTTTAATATGTTTTCGGTATCAATAAATAACGTACTTTTCAAAAGTTGCTAGCGCCAAATAAAAAATGAAATTATTATAGAAACAAAAAAATAATTCTACTCGTACAATACTCAGACTGTTTTAAATTTATAAATAAATACTCTCTTTTTGTATATGATTATTGAACGAAAAATATGTATAACGGATAGGTAAGAAAGGACTCAAAGAAAAGGAAATAATATAATAAAGATAATTCAAATACATACAAACCCAATATTATCCTGGTCTATAAAAAAGACCAAATAATTTGTTTTTATGTTTATCTAAACCGTTAACACCCAGTTTAATTCTGGGCTAGCAGCACAACTTTGACTCAGTCAACATATATTTGAAATTCGCATGTAAAAGTTTCAATATTTGTGTTTTAGTTCCGCGAATGGGCAGTTCAAAATCAAGGGGTTTTAGGTACGAGCTTCCAACAAGTGTTCAATGCTGCAGAGACATCTCTAAGCGCTATACAATGGGCCGTGGAAAATTCAGCGGACATTACTAATTACTTAAATACAGGCAATGCTGTTTTGGTAACAAGTACGCCTGCTCCTGTTGTCACAACCCCTCCGGTAACAGCAACCGTTGCTGCTATTTCGGCACCAACGACGCCTGACCTTCCCGATTCCGCTAATACATCGTTTGTATCAATTTTAACTATCGTTGTTGCTTTGTTGGTCAAGTATATATTCTAAGACATTATTCATTTTCTGAGTTCTTTTTCGTGTCAAATAAATGTTTATAGATAATTAGTTTGTTATTAGTTAAATAACACACTGTACCGAGTACTTATATATTTTCCTTAAATTGAGAACTCGTATTTGAATCGACAAGAATTATCACTCTTTGATTTATTATACATGAAATGTTCTAGAAATAAATATGTTATTTAGTGAATATTAATTTATTAAAATAAATCCGTATACCATACTGTAAAAAGTGAACATCAAAGCAATATAATAAAATTACTGATTTATTTGTTTTGACATTGTCAAGATAAAGTAGTTTTTGGTTTTCTAATGTTGTTCATTCCACCGAATTGTATATAGTCTAACGTTATTCATAAATATTTAAATAAATAATGTGATTTCTACATTTATGCATTTTTATTCACTTATTTTATTACTTTGCAATATATGGTCCGTGAACCCCTTTTCTTTAGGCACTAGCCCTGCTTCCTAGCAAGCGATATGGATCACCCATCCCTTGGTTAGCCACGCAGTGGGTGATCCATAAGCCCCTAGAAGACCGTGACTTGGGGAGTCCGCAGAATCATAAGCACGGTGAATGTTTGCCAATGGAATTACAACTCATTAGTATGAGTATCATCAATTTAAATTTCACTAATTTTGTAGTAAAATAGCAGTACGTTATTTTGAAGAACGTGTATTTAATTATTTAATAATAAATAAATAAAAACAAATAAATAAATTTATATATATGTATAGTAATATATCACAGATGTACCTGTGAGAAGGCTCAATTTCGAAGCGCGGCAAATATCGTCCAACCCAAGTATCACCCTTTCGGGCGATCCACCAATCAACACCACACGCCTGACCCCCGTTAAGTGTGAGTGAAGCATCCGCTTCAAAGCATAAAATTCAAAGCATACGTATCCACGTATGCTTTGAATTTTATATTTTCTACTTTGAATTTTAAATTATCCGCGTATGCTTTGAATTTTATACCTTATGATTATGAAACAAGATTTATGAAGATTTACCATGAGCAATTTTAGTTGAAACTTGTACGGGCTAAAAAAAGTCTAATACCTTTTTATCGATTTTTTCATTGGAATTATGATTAGTTTCTTAGGGGTCCATTGATAAGACAAAGTTTGGGTAGGTTGATGTAGGCTTATTTCTAAAGCAATTTTTATTTAAACCATATATTGTGTAAAATAATAATTCCTTAAGTGAATTTCGTCTAGTAATATCGTTTGGTTCAGGTGAAATTCTTCTAACCGAGACTTAGATTTACAGGTTAGTTAACTTTTCATATGTTAAGATTACCTTAGTGCCTAGTTGAACAGCAACAGCAACTGTAATATCGCAAATACTTATGACTACTTAGCTTATGAAAACCGCCGATTTTTTATACATACCTCCATTTTAATATCTTAGTTTATATTAAGTAACTTTGTGAATTAATTTATAAGGATCACTGATAAATGTTTTGGATTTTATTTTGTGATTCCATTGTGTCAAGAGACTTTAGAGGTCATTGGCGGAATCTAAGATTCTAATTTATCATAAACATGTGATTGTAATACTAGCAGTGCATTTCTACTTGAAGCTTTTATTTATATCGAAACGAATTACGATCCACATTAGTTCTGGATATAAAAAAAATCAAAAAATAGTTTTGTTAATTTGAGTGCTAATTGTTACAGCCCGAATAAAGACCATTTATTTGTTCCAATAGTTGATGAAAAAAGCAAACATTATTATCATTATTTTAATAAATCTAAAGCCGTATTGCCTGGCTGCTCGTTCGAGAAGTACCTAGTACACACAATACACACAGAGATATGTATATGAAATACCATTATGGATTTTGATATATATATTCTTGAAAAAAGTCTAATAAATAACTAGAAAAAATATTTTTTTACTATTAGTAAATCATTACTTAATTTTAAATCGTTAAAAAAAGTGTTTTTTTTTGCAATTTATTGTGAAATTTATTGTCCACTAATAAAAAAAGCGAGCTTAGGTAAGTTATTAGATACTTTTTAGCTTACGAGATTTTTTATCAGAATCATATAGGTCAATGTTGCTGCCGCAAGTACATTCCCTACGTGACGTCAAAGTGTGAGCATAAGTATGGTTTACCCTATTTTGCTTCACTATCTTGATATATCTATAAAAATAATAATTATTATATAAATTAAAGAAATGGCGTAACTTTATAGTACGATACTAACAAGGCGTTTTTATTTCGACAGTCAACAATAATTAATTAAAACCTAATATACTAAATCATAAATTACTTTTCCGTATACCCATGAATCAATATGAAATCTTTTAAAAAGTTTTTTCTATAGATTGAATAAACCGACTTTAACAATTATGAAGTTTATCGATCGACTGAATGATATTTAATATATAATTCTTTGGGGTAATACCGAAAGTAAAGAAATTCAAAAAATGACGTCTTGCCACCAAATCTGCTTTGTTTTTGAAAGAAAATAGATAAATTTGACAAACAAAAAAGCTTTTAATTAAAATACTTACTTTAAATTAGATAGAACAACAACAAACATATTGCTTGTTAAATGTAAATGTTATTTTCGGAATTTCCCCGCATTGGTAATTTATCCAAAGCACCTTACCACGTTCTCTTCGTCAACGTTGGATAATTTAAATGATTTTTTTTCCTTTAAAAGGATATGTTCTCTAAAGAGTTTTTTTCGTGGATTTGTTTAATATTTTTCTTAAACATGAAAACCTTATTATACATAACATTTGCATGTCCTTTACAAATTAGTTAACAAATTCAAGAAACTTGATTTGAAATCTGAGAGTTAAAAGTGTGGTTCGCAAATATTTTCCTTCTTACGAATTACTTTTCGATTTTGATGTGGATTTAACTATTTAAGATATTCAATTTATCGATAACTTTTTGTTGTTTTATCTTACCGTGTCCTTAGATATGAAACTAATTTGATTATATTACAGATAATAAAATGAAAAATAATCTATAGTATTTATTATAACGATCTGATGAACTTATGATAAGAGAGATAAGAGTAACAATTTTATTTTGTGCCATTCATTTTGACCGCACCACGCTGTAATCGGGTGCGGATGTTGTGGAGATGAAGGTAAGTTAAAATTATATTTAATAAATTGTGACATAAACAAGGGTTTCTGTTTAAATTTCAAGGTAAAAGTGTTTATCTATGTGTAAAAGTGCCTCACGATAATAAGGTGAAGACATAAAATTCTGAAATCAAGGAACATAAAACGATCAATCTTCACAGAAAAGGTTTCTAAAAAGTTGAATGAAAAAAGTGGACTGTAGAAGTTTGTCAGTTCATGTATTGAGTGATGTTTCTGATTGCATTTGTTTTTATTATATTATCAGGAAATAAATTTTAGAGTAAATTAAACCTTCAAAACAGTATAGGTAGTCAGAACATATGGCAGTGTAGGTGGTAATATAGACGATTTATTGACATGTAAAACTGTACTCAGTCGACTTGTGACTTAGATTATTAAGTGCTATGAAATATATTTATTTGTTTATATTTATTGCCAAATTATAACAAATTAGTGACTTAATGCCGGAGGAGAGAATTACCATACAGATATAATTAATATACCTACATACACATATACATTAAGATAATACCATACATACATACAAATACATTTACACAAATAAATATATACATACCAGATTAGGAAATGTCGGGAACCCTTTAGATCGTGTTCTCGGATGTTCTATTGGATACTTTTAGTCAATTAATTTATTGATTTCAGATGACGTTATTATTAATAACAATTTTGGCTACGGCTTGTCTCTCAGTAAATGGATTTCCACAAGATCCTATCCCATACAGAAATACAATTTTTATGGACTAGCGACTAGAGAATGGACCATTCGAATTTCTCAACTCATACAATGACGTATCACTCGCCAAAGTTAATAACCCTTATCGGCTTCCAACAACAACAAAGCCTCAACATTATAGGGTGCATTGGACAGTTGATATAACCAATCTTGCCTTCAACGGTGAAGTAGAAATTGATTTATATGCAACACAGCCGAACGTTAATGAAATTGTGATCCATGCTCATGACTTAGAAATCAAATCTGTAAAACTATTTCTGGGTAACAATACTATATATCAGACATACAGCTTAGAACCTCAGTACCATTTCCTGAGAGTCGGTTTAATAAGTGAATCTTTGATTTATAATTCGGAACAGCCAGTTATTTATACGCTTGTTATTGAATTTGAAGCACTGTTGAGACACGATATGACGGGTCTTTATAGAAACTGGTACAGAAATAATGCTACCGATGAACCAAGGTAGGTTTGTAAAAGTGAAATTGTTATTATTATTAAAAGAACAATCTATTCGAATTGATATACCTTAATATCGTATATATTCAAAGAAATATTTCAGATAGATTTTATTTTATTCGTGTATGGTAATTATTGTAATATGTTCGTAGAGTAATAGCTATCCGTTATGTTTTAGTTGGATGGCATCGACTCATTTTCAGGCGACTGCTGCTCGCTTTGCTTTCCCATGCTATGATGAACCAAGCTTTAAGGCTACATTCGATGTGATCATCACTAGACCTGAAGGTTTTGGAAGTTGGTTTTGCACTAGACGTGTTGATACCGAAGATAGTGCTATTGAGTAAGTAAACACCAAAATGTTTATGCTTCGTTGTATAATAAACAAATAATAAATTTCAATTGTGATAACAAAAACATTTGTTTATTTATAAGTTTACTAAATGACAGTGAATCAGTTGAACTTATTTTAATATACAATAGGAGTGGCTTGAAATATGACATTCCGAACTACTATAGAAACTAATATTGAATTAATGAACCATATTTTAAAAAATGACATTAAAGCAATATAGAATTTTGATATAATTAAAAGTCCTCATAGAATCTTGAATTTTATTAATATAAGAATATTTCTATTTAAGTTATTTTCATTAATTAATCGATCGTTTTACAGAAATTATAAGGATGATATATATTCGAGAACGCCGGTAATGTCGACATACCTGTTGGCTTTAATAGTTGCCGATTATAAAAGTAGGGAAAAAAATGAAAACGGAAAGCTGATGTATGAAGTGATAGCAAGACCAGCTGCCATGGAAGATAATCAAGGAGATTACGCATTTTATTTTGGACAAGAACTTTTAGAAAAAATGAACAATCACACGGATATGGACTTTTATTCTGTAAATGAAAATATTAAAATGACTCAAGCCGCTATACCAGATTTTTCTGCGGGCGCTATGGAGAACTGGGGTTTACTAGTTTACAGGTAGATATTAAATTATTTTATATCTTTGTAATTGTCATCATCATGGGTCAAGAGCAATTCATTGCTGGAATTGTATGTCCATTGTAATGTGGAACAAATTTGATGAAGGTTCTAAAGTAACATGATAAAATGTAGTTTCTTTTTTTTTTTTGGCTTTGCCTCGAAAAATTGTGAATAATTTATATAGCAATACACTGCCGGAAATAAATCTTACTTAAAGGAAAACGATAAAATGTGTTTTTGTCCTTAATTTGGGTTTGATTTATGTTCTCAAAGATACATTCTCAAAGTCAAATTAAAATGTCGTTTATTTAATAAAAAAACTTTTGTCAAAGTTAAACTACAAAATGTTGTTATTAAAATAAAATTAACGAAAATACTTCTGAACCGTCTTCGTCGACAACTGTAGATTATATAAACAAGTAGACCGCTAAAAACTTATAATCTTAAAATGGAATTATTTTGTATTTTTATAGGGAAGCTTACATAATGTACAGCGATAAACACTCTGATGGATTTTTCAAACAGAGAATTGCTTATATTTTGTCTCACGAAATTGCGCACATGTGGTTTGGGAATCTCGTCACGTGCGACTGGTGGGATAATCTGTGGCTTAATGAAGGATTTGCCAGATACTACCAATACTACCTTACTGATTGGGTATATATGTTATTGTTTATAATTTCATTTCTCTGCATGGTTTCAGGTTATTTTGAATTAATATCCATTTTTTTTCTATTATTTATTAGGTTGATCCAGAATTAGGCTTAGGTATACGTTTTATCCCTGAACAAGTTCATACTTCGTTGCTCACTGACTCCGCTAATAATCCACACCCTCTCAACAATCCTGGTCTCGGTAGTCCTGTGGAAGTCAGAACTATGTTCACCCAGATCAGCTATAACAAAGGTGCTGCCGTTATCAGAATGACTGAACATTTAATGGGCTCCAATAATCATAGGGAAGGCTTGAGGAAATATTTAAAACAAAGGTAATTCTGTTTTATGTACTCTCTTTAGTTTACTGTAATTAGTTAAAGGTTTTAATAAAGAAAAATAAAGAGTTTAATAAATATGAGCAAATAACTTTATACTTCTTAATATTTCAGATCATTTAAAACTGCTCTCCCTATTCATTTATTTCAAGCCCTGCAAGAGGCGGCTGAGGAAACAGGTGCTATTGAACAATACGGACCCGATTTTAATATCATAGATTACTATAAGACTTGGAGTGAACAAAGTGGACATCCTGTACTCAATGTAGAAGTTAATCATCAGACAGGTCAAATGACTATTCATCAGGTTATTGTTAAATGTGTTAACTACATAATATATTCCATGGACTGTCCGTGACAAACGTTTCTAATATTAGATTTGTTTTTTAGCGCCGATTCAATATTAATAGTGGATATTCTGTATCTACTACTAATTGGATTGTACCAATCACCTTCGCGACCGCCAGTGATCCATACTTTGAAGATACTAAACCTAGTCATATAATAACAGAATCTGTTACTGTTATCGACCGCAAGAGCATCGGTGATGAGTGGGTTATTTTCAATAAACAACAAACAGGTAAGATTATAAATCTCTACTTTAAATTAAATAATAATAGACGAAATATGAGCTTGTGACTTATTAAAGTGATGTATTTTTGTTTTCTTGCTTTAGGATTTTATAGAGTAAATTATGATGATTATACTTGGGATCTTATAACAACACTTTTAAGAGGACCGAATCGAACGTTAGTACATGAATTCAACAGAGCTCAGGTAACTGTAGTTTATATTATCTTGTTCACTAAAAGTTGAAAATCAAACCTTAGTTTTTCTCGTTATCATTTCAGGGTGCATCTAATTTTCTATCATGTGAAATTAATGTTTGTAATTTTTTTAATTCTTGTTTTATTGTAACATAGATTGTCAACGATGTATTCCAATTTGCGCGTTCCGGTCTTATGAGCTACACTAGGGCTTTCAATATTCTCTCGTTCATGAGATTTGAAACAGAATATGCACCTTGGGCAGCTGCCATCTCAGGTTTCAATTGGGTTAGAAACAGATTTGTTCGTACCACTCTGGAAAAACAAATAAACGTAAGTATTTAAAAAAACTTAAAAATATTTATTTGGTAAAGCTTTCTTTGTTATAGTGATTATTGGCTGACTAGGTAGCCTGTTATTAAATATTTTTAATAAAGTTTTCAAAATCGCGAACTTCAAAATTGATATTATTTTATTTTATATCCACTTTTTGTCAGTTGCAATCAAAATTTAAGTGACTATTTGAAATTGGACCAATAATAATTTGCTAATGGTTATTAAGAGCAGAGTAGCGATGATGTAGTAGATAAGCGTCGCCCACGATCCTTGTTGCTAAGCAATTTTCGCTAGATTCGATCATAGGATGAATGACTAAAAATTATTATCTCATTAAGCCATTAGTATTAGCTGCACTTGAAGTCGTTAATACCCCCCGATCGCAATACGTTCGCATAAAAAGTAAGTAAAAAGAGTTAATGACAATTAATGTTTATTTTATTAAAATATGTGTAAATAAGTTTTGTATTTTACTGAGATAATAGAAAACCACTTTTTATCATACCGTTAAACATTACATAGTTTTCATGGATAGATACATTCATTAAAACACGATATCTATGATTATATAATAGTTTTTACGTCAATCATTTTTTTATGATTAATATTTTTTTTTGTTCAGGATTTATTTATCGGTTGGGCGACTCCATTGATGGATACTTTGACGTACTATCCTAGCGAAAATGAGTCTTTTATGCGATCTTATTTGCGTTATGAATTGGCGCCCATAATGTGTCAACTGGAAGATCAAGAGTGCCGAGAAGCTGCAGTGCATCAATTCCAAGAACTTGTAAATAATGATATCGAGTAAGATTGTCAATTGACGCTATTAGCTATCAGTGCGAAATTTATTTATTTGTTTTTCAATTACTTTGGGATTATTTGAAACCTTGTATATATTCATTTAAATATATACTGGGGACGTCGCCAGAGTATTACAGGTGTCTCTACTGTAATCTGAATGTTGACTTAGTTAATAAAAGATTCTTCAACTTTGTCCACCTATATTAAACAATCTTTGTTTGTGTGATGTAGGTGCTTTGGAGTAAACACCGTGCGGTGGTAGGCTTCTAATGAAGCCGCCTGGTCTGCTACCACCCTCCTGTTGGAAACCGACGCCATGCATCCTGTTGCATTCCGTCGGAGTGCAGGAGAACCAGTGCCAATGGGTGATGCTAAGCGGTCAGTAGCTATGTTCAAGAACGGTACTGAGCCCATGGTGGAGTTGTACTGGGTCAGATCGGTTTAGAGACTAGCGGGATCCGAAGCACGGTCTTGCCGTTGACCGACCGCAGTTTGTAGGGGGCCCAAGTAGTGCGCTAGCCACGTGCAAAAGGCTGCCCCGCCATCTTGCGAAAAATCCCGTGATGCGCCACCGTGCCAGTTGGTGACTGGATCGGAGGACCCGGTGGACATCTTCCAGGGGGTTCGGGCGTCCCCGCAGTCACCATGTTGATTTTCCCATATGTTGGCTGTACTGTGATGCTCCAGTTGTTCAATGGACTTCGCCTCGATTGTTAAACCATCACTCCAATCACACTCAAATACATGAAAAGTCGAAAGGGAAAATGGTTCAAACAACGGCTGCACTTCCTCCTAGTAAAAGTGCACCTCTCTAACATCCGAGGGCTGCATTCAAATCTCGATTCGGTCCACCACCACCTTGAAACCGAAAAGCCAAACCTTTTCTTCCTAACGGAGACGCAGATAGCAACCCCGTCGGACTTGTCGTACCTCAACTACCCAGGTTACACTTTGGAACATAAATTCCGAAAGAGGGCTGGGGTCTGTGTGCACGTGCGCGATGACGTCTGCTATAAGCGTCTCCGTGGTTTTGAAAAACCTGGTATATCCGCCCTTTGGCTGTTGGTTGATACTGGTGTAGAGAAACAGCTCTACGTCGGTTTATATCGATCGCACAGCAGTGACCAGGAAACAACTAGGCTCATTGAATACCTCACTGAGACGGCAAATGCGGCTATTCAAAGGTACAACGCAGCTGAGATTCTGTTTCTTGGGGATTTGAATACCTACCACCGCGAGTGGTTATTTCCATTTGAAAAAACAGATCACGCTGGATGTGAGACATGCAAGTTTGCATTGTCGTTGGATGTCACTCAGCTTGTAAATGAAGCAACGCGAGTACCAGACATCGATGGCCATACCCCCAATTGCCTAGACCTTCTGCTGACAACAAACCCCCACAGGCACTCTGTTTCGGTGTCAGCTCCACTGGGTTCATCAGATCACTGGGTGGTTAAATCTGTGTCGATCTCCTCACCGCTAGATTTCAGTCCTAGGGGCACGAGGCGAGTTTGGCGATACAAGTCAGCAGAATGGGACGAAATGCCTCTTTTTTTGCGTCTTATTCTTGGCGACAAGTCTGTTTTTCATCAGATGATCCCTCTGGCTCCTGTAATGCAGTCGAATACGTGATCCGGCAGGGAATGGAATATTTTATTCCGTTCTCCGATATCTCGCTTGATGACAGAACCCGATCTTGGTTTAACGCGGATTGTGCTCGTGCTGAAATGCGAAAAGAGTATGCGTACCGTGAATGGGTTCAAGCTCGCGACCGTAAACTCGGAGCTCAGAGGGTACGTGCGCGGAAGAAGGCCTTCAACTCCGTAGCCAAGGCATGTAAGAGAATGTCTCGTAAGGCACGTTTCGACCACGTAAGTCGCATTGGGTCCAAACTATCATCTTACCCTGCTGGTAGTAAACAATTTTGGTCCCTGTCTAAATCGGTTGAATCCAACTTCTGCCGTCCCAGTTTACCTCCTATGCTTAGGCCTGATGGATCGCTGGCTCACTCCGCGGCTGAGAAAGCGAATTTATTTGCTTCCTTCTACGCGATCAATTCTCATTTGAATGCAGGCTGTGCAAGTCCACCTTCCCTTCCTCACTGTGGCACGTTTATGCCACATGTCACCATACACTGTAAGGAGGTTAGAAGAGCTTTGCAGAATTTGAATGTGAATAAAGCTAGCGGCCCCGATGGAATCCCAGCAAGAGTCCTTAAGGTTTGTGCGCCTGAACTGTCTCCTATTTTAACACGACTGTTCCGCCTCTCTCTTGAACAGAAAAAAGTTCCTAAAATGTGGAAGTTAGCCAATGTGCAACTTCTACCTAAATAGGGTGATCGTGCAGACCCCTCCAACTACCGCCCAATATCTATCACCTCCATAATTTGCAAAGTTATGGAAAGAATTCTTAACGCTAAGCTGCTTTTGTACTTTGAAAAACACGACCTACTCAGTGATCAGCAATATGGTTTTCGCCAGAGCCAATCTACTGGGGATCTTCTTGTATACATCACGCACCTCTGGGGCGAGGCTAACGAGAAACACGGCGAAGCAGTTGCAGTATCGGTCGACATCTCAAAAGCCTTTTACAGAGTCTGGCACGGTGGTCTGCTGAGCAAACTTCCAGTATATGGTATTACCGCTGACTTTTGCGACTGGATATCTGACTTCTTGAGCGAGCGGTCGATTAGTGTGGTCGTTGATGGATGTTCTTCGGACCACAAGGAAATCGACGCTGGAGTTCCTCAAGGGTCTGTTCTTTCAGCAACCCTTTTCCTGCTGCACATTAACGACCTGCTTATGCCTGGTATTGTTGGGTACGCAGACGACAGCACGGTTTCGGAAAGATACATACCTAACGCAAAAGCCAGCAGTGAGGACACTCGTATTCAAAGAGAGGCCATGGTTGAGCGGACTAACTTTGCCTTAAGTTTTGTTTCCCAATGGGGGGATAACAATTTGGTCAGTCTTAACGCCACCCAAAACACAGGCGTGTTTATTCTCCGCCAAAAGGAGCCCTTTCACCAAGGTGAAAGGGCTCTTTCCGAGGTACAACTGTAGAAATCTCTGGCGATCTTGATCTTCTTGGCATAAGGTTGTCTTCAGACCTCAACTTCGGTGACAGTATCGAAACGAAAGCTCAAACTGCGGCCAAAAAATTGGGCATTCTAAATAGAGTTAAACGATACTTTACACCGGAACAGCTTCTTACTTTGTATAAAGCGCAAATTCAATCACGTCCACCTGGTTCACATTCCACGTATCCGAACAAAGCACACACATTAACAAAAAACAACCGCCTTTGTCCACCCTTGCATTAGTACTCGTACCAATGTTGTTATATTAATATTAATAATGTGTGAGCAATAAAGTGTCTTTTATAATTATTGTTTGTATGATACTCAGATCTCTTTGTATTTGTCTATCATTAACATAACATTTTGTTCTATTATCATGACCAAACAATGATTTATCCGATTTTTTATTTCTGTTAATATTTGCAGAGTTCCAGTAGACAGTCGCAGCTGGGTATATTGTAATGCTCTCCGGGAGGAAATCAACGGGAGCTTCGATTACCTTTGGGAAAGATTCCAGACTCATCCTGTGTACGCTGAAAAAATACAAATTCTTATGATCCTAGGTTGTTCTCCTAATTCAACGGCACTAGAAACGTGAGTACTTAGTACTATGTTTTTTTTAACGCGACTTGTATCTCGTTCTTTTACATTCAATATCCTCTGATATGTGTTCGACGGTACAGAGGTTAACGTGCTTGGTTTGCGATACGGTTGTTAAGCAGCTTTCGTAATAGGATGGGTGACTAAAAATTTATTTGGTATTAGTATAGAAAATGCTTTCCAGACCAAGGTCTGGTGATGATGGAACTGGAAGGTAGTAATAGAAACTTAGCAATGAAATAATGGACCGCATCGTGTTGGGGCTCTTTAGATCCATCTTTATGAGAGCAACATTATATTGGTAAAAAAAAAAACAAAAAAAAAATAAAAAATTCACTAACCAAAACATAAAAAATAATTTTATGTAATTATTTTCTCTGACAGTAATTATGTCTTGGAAAGCTTGTAACGCTGATATAATAGGGATGATGACTGGGTAAAAGAAATGCAATTCTATTTAGTCCGTCAGTCAGATAATAGAAAAATATTAGATACGTATTTTTTTTTACTTCAATTTAACAAGAAATAGCTTAGATAACAGGCATTAAAGTTGAGGAGTGGGGGCTCGCTACGTCACAGTTGAGTAGAAAACGTACTCTAACGTGACGTCATGCGAAATTTCAACTCAATGTAACGCCGTAATTTTATGATTACAAAAAAAATAAAAAAAATACGTGTTTAATATTTTTTATCACTCTAACTGACGGACAAATAAACAAAAATTAGTCATCATCCCTATTGAAGACGAGGAACATATATTTTTACACGCTATAGCTTTTTAAGTCGATTACTGTTAGAGAAAATATTTGCATATAATTATTGTTTACGTTTAAGTGCGTAAAAATGAAAGCTTGTTTTAAAAAACTCTTTTTTTAAAGATTTCGCTTAATATTTTTATATTATCACAGTGGCGCAACATTTTCATTTTTATGAATGTTTGGTGTCTCAGTGCATTTTATCAGAGTTTTAAATTAGAAAGTGTAGTAGGTAAACCGCTGCTACAAGAAATGCAAAAATGGTGACTATTTGGGGAACTCTGTTTTTTTTCGGGGTTATAAATTCACGTTTTGGTTATGATTAAATATCTATTTCTTTGTACAAATTCGATTTTCGAAAGTCTCACCAACTGATTGAAAGTTAGTGATTGAGTGAACGCCCTCACTGAAACCTTACCGTTGGATACCTTGTCCATCAATTAGTTTGTAATGCTATAAATTCTGAATTAAATAAAAATAAATTATTAACGGAATACGTGTCTTTGTATTAGCCAATAGCGTCGCCGCAATTACTTCGCCCGCCAACTACCCCGCCGCTAAGATTGGCATCTTTATTTATTTAAAAAATAGTCATCATGTGGTATCTATTAGAGGTTGTCTGTGTATAGTAGCAATCCCGTTTTTAGTTATCCTTCTGATGTTTGATTTTGATTTATTGATTTAGATACACACGTGACAACAACATTACACAATTTATATAAAGATAATGGACTAGTTTTAATGAAGTGCCTTTATAGGCGTATAAACATACCAATACCTTTTAAATTATTCTAAAAGAGCATATAAAGTATTCCAAATTATTTATTCAAATAAACCAAAAAAGCAGCAATAAACTATATAAGTAGTTTATTAAACATTTCGTAATTTTAATCAAAAACAGAAGAAAGTATTATTACACTTCTTTTTGAAAGTAATCTCAGAATTACTGAAGATATCGGCTTACAACAATTATTAACATTGTTGTAAGCCTGAATACACCGGTAAAGTGGAGCGAACATTCCTAAATTTGTTTTGCTAAAAGGTATATTAAAGCATATTTTTAAAGACTCGAGGAATAAGGTATGGAACATTAAGAGTGACTTTTTGTAACAGATCAGAGGAGTTGATATTACTATAAACGAGTTTATGCAAAGTCAAAATATCTGAAATTTTTCGCCTGATTGCAAGTGAATTTACCTTAAAGTATAAATGACCATGACTATTTCAAACAAAAATACAAGGAAAAATACTAAATTTTCGCCCAAAAGTAGTTTTAAAATTAATTTTCAAAATTTAATTTCAATACTACTTTAAATTTATTCGATGCAGTAGTTTCGGAATATTAAATGTGACAGGCGGATAGACAGACAACCACGTGTGTTTTTCCTTTTTTGATATGGAACCCTAAAAAAGATTTATTCTAAAAGGCCAATAAGACCATCATGAATTTCAAAGTTATATGATTGTTGAAGGTTCCTTGATGGCATCGTGCAGGATAACTTTATCATCAGGCGTCAAGATTACACGACAGCTTTCAATTCAGCTGTCACTGGAAATGAGGGTAATACGAAAATCGTATTCGAATACATAAAGAATAACATCCAGGAAGTGTCAGAAGCGTAAGTATTTTAATAAGATTGGAACTATTAATAAAATATTAAACTCATCATTAGTGTCTAATAAAAACTATTATCGTAACCAGCGTGATTCTCTACACATTTCCTTTTATTTTACTATTTTGACAAGTAATTTAATAACAATGAATGAATGACAAATATATAATAATGATTATGTTTATATATGATAATAATGAATATATATAATAATGATTATGGATTTGACAGCAGTCAACACAAAATACCAACTTATTCGTCAAAAAGAATGTCAAAGTATAAATATCACAATCTGAGCCCCTAATTCTCTAGCCATAGATGCTCTATGGCTAGAGAATTAGGGGCTCAGATCTGCTCGGTTAGTCCTTAGAGTGTTTAAATGTATAAATTTAAATAATAAGGGAAGATATGACACTAAAGCCTACAACGATTTACTGATTAGATACGTATAAATATTTTACTTGGTTCATGATTCTTGACTGGTCCGGCCCACCCATGAATAATACGTGTACCTAAACTACAACAAAAATATTTTATAAAAAAGAGACAAGAAAGGACATAGACTTGCGTTTGTGAGATTTTATAAAAGTTGAGCCAGCGCCGCATTTGAACGAACGCGGTTTAGTTACATTAGAATACGCAAAACTGCAGGCCAATTCTGTTAATGTAGTTAGGTGTTACAAACTGCAAAGTTTTGAGATTTGCCTTCAATCGCAGTGTGGTACTCACTTTTTTCGACAAAGTTATGTAAAATATGCACCTACTACGTAGCTGTGTGAAGAAATCGAGCTTAATTTTTTACAAAAAGCTTTATCAATGAACTGGATCACTAATTAAGACATATTTTTCGGTTGATGCAAGTATTAGTGTACCGTTACCTTATAGTTTTAATAAAGGAACAAGTTCACACAATGATAAAATTTGCTACAGACTGGGGACGGCAACTGCGCTTTCATATATTTCTTCAAGGCTGAGAACACGAGACGAAATAACAGAGGTAAAAATTAAATAATATAATAATAAATAAACATCAGGTGCAAAGTTAATAATTAACAGTTTTGAGTGCAACGATACATTGTAATAATATTACATTCGATCCAATATTTCTCTCAACATCGACTAATGTAAAATATCCTCAAAGTGAAATGTCATAGCATTTAACTATGAATAGATGCCATTAGTTTTGTAAATTTGTTGTTTCTTAATCAATGGATATACTTAATTTTTGTCTTACTTTTATAACATAATTAACGTACTGAACTATTGATTTGTTTTCAAACTATGTGACATTTCTATTCTTTTATGATTTCTAACAATTTAGACGAATAAATGTAATCTGAAATAAAAACTATGATTTATAATTGTAAGTAATTATTTCATTTATTAAGTAACGAAATTCGCAAGACGTCGGTATACTCACCCCGGCTAAGCAAAAAACCTTGATATCTATCCGGTAACGCTTAAAAAATCCACCAGTCCCAATTTGGGGTACCTGGGTAGGTGATTTTCTAAGCACTTTTATCAGTATAGCACTGAGAATGTCCAATTGATCTAATACCTCTATGAAAAAAGTTGATTTGAAGCCTGAATAATGCAATTTAGTTCAGCATTACATATATTTCAGTTTTATAAGGACAATTTGTTTAATTGTTTTTTTTTCATCAACAGTTTCAACAATGGGTTACAAGCAATCAAGAGTTATTAGGCACGAGTTTCCAGGCCGTATATAATGGTGCTACTACGTCATCTACTGCCTTAGATTGGGTTGCTGTAGTAGAAAGTGACGTCAGCAACTATCTCACCACAGGAGATAGCCCGGTACAAACTAGTACAGCCGCTGATGTAACTACAACCACACAATCATCTGTTACTGTTGCACCTATACAGTCTCCCACAACTGTTTCTCTTCCAGATTCAGCAAATGCATCTTTCTTATCAGCTTTCATAATTATGATTGCTATTTTGGTAAACTTTGTGTTTTAGTATCTTTTTTGGGGAATAATTATTTTTTTAGTATTATTTTTGAGAGACAATTTGTGGAGTGAGACAATATATATATATTTTTTTATCTAAATAAAAATCATTTGATTTATTACTAAGGACGTGTTTATCTCTTTACAAAAATAGCGATCTAGGTTTAAGTTTTAAGATTGCACAAAGTTTTTCTACGTGTTTTTGGAAGAAAAGTTTCCTTTGGAGTACCAAAAATTTTGTATTTTCAGTTATAGAGACATTTCAGTTAGCTGATTGTTACCCCCATATCAAATGCATATTAAAACCTTCAGTCAGCCAACTTGATTTCTAGGCCACAATGTAACCAAATCGAAAAAATGTTTTGTTATAAAACTAGCCGAAGGAATTTAAGAAAAGGTAAAATTATAAATCGCTATGACATTAATTGTATCGAAAATTATGACTTTCTTCCCTTGTCATTAGGATCGCATTGTTTCATAGATTTTATTTGGGATTGAGCTATCGATAGTGATGCTTCGGAATTATTTTTTATCAGGCATAAAAAAATTGCCGAATGATTACTATCGATATCAACAGAACTACCTTATTTTTTATTTGAGTTTGATAATTCTTGGACAATAAAGAAACAAAAATTATAGTGACATAGGAGTCAATTTGGCTAACTATACATCCAAATAAGCTTTGCAATAAGTATGCTCTTTTATTTAGGAGGCATTAAGATTCCAGAAAATGTTATTGTTATATTTTTGAAAATGTGACAACTATAATATATTTTCGTAACGACTTTTACAATTAGAATTATATTATATTTTAATTTTTACCTAAGCAACTTAAAATTACAATATAATTAATGTGTTTATTTAAGTAATTTTAAGTAAACAAAATTATATATGATTTGGCAAATAAATGATTTTTAATTATCAAATTTCTGGCTTTTAAAATTACACATTTATCAATAAAATAATACTATCGTGAATTTGTCTTGTAACATATGTAAAAATGTAAAACTTAATCAATGGATTTATCATAGCTATTTCCTGTTGATCTGACCTTTTGGAGAGGTACTGTTCGATCAAGAATTAAGTAGCACTTATATGTTGCCCATCCCGCCCTGCACAGCGTATTGATACGCGCGGAACTTCATACATATCCACGTCACATGGGGTTGGGCTCACGTGGGGTGGGGTGGGCTAGATATAACCGATGCTTTACTTATTTTATTATATGGATTTAGTCAGTTCCACTAAAAAGTTACCTACTATGATTTTTTCTTTAGAAAAGAAAGTTGTCCAGTCAATGGCATTATTTTTGTTTGTTAATAAGAGGGTAATGAAGATGAATGGAAAAGATGGATGGACTGTGTGAATGGAGAAATAACGGCTGACAGAGAAGAATTGAAGGAGGGGACACACTGCGCCAGCTCCACATAGATTGGGAACAGGGCAGGAAGATGATGACGAATTTTGAAATATCGATGTATTAAACCTTTGACATAACACAAAACACATATCTGTGATCACAAAATCTAAATTCTAATCCCGTTTCTGTGTACACTAAGAGTAAATAATTGACTCTGAGTTACATTTCCTATGTTTATTGATATACTATGTATTAACAGGCATTATTGAGTTTAATATTTTTATTCATTTATAATAGAGATTATTGCTTCATTTTATTGCTGATGGAATTTTATTATATTCAAGATAAATTTAATCCAGTTCATTAATATATACTTCTGTACTAATATTATAAAGGGTATATATTGGATAGTTTCTTTGTTTGCATTGAATAGGCTTCGAAATTGGTGTAGAGCCGCTGTTGGACTTTTATTCAAATAAACGCTGGTTAATATAATGTAAAGAGATTTATTTCTTACCACCAATAACGCATGCGCTTACCACCAATAACGCATATGAGAGACGCATGCGTCTAGTAAGGTGTACAGTGAAAGAGAGAGAGCGTGTGGAAACATTATGCAGCTACTTATAGTGCTTATGTTACTAGTGTTGGGAAAATCCCGACAACTGGACCGATTTGAAAAATTCTTTCGCCTACGAGAATTCACGTCTACGCTGGTGACTTAAGTTATAATTTATGCGAGCTTAGTTACGGGAAAACAGCTAGTAACATAAAAATCATACAAAGTTTTGTCTGCTACAATTGATTTTCTTCTAAACTATTATCATATAGTTGAATTTACTCATAAATAAATCCAAAGAGCGCATTGCGATACGTCCATTACTTGGTCTCCGCGTATCCACTAAAAACCCTCGGTCTAGAAACGTATGAAGATTATGGTATTTGTATTATTAATCAATTTTAAATGTTCATACATAAATTTTTCATTAACTTCCTAAGCTATATAAACTCTTTATCTAGCGGCTTCCCAAGTTATATAACTTCCTAAGCTATACCTATAACTTATTTATCTAGCGGCTGGTTTGAATGTGAAATCATGAAAGAATTTCACCTATTTTATATTATTATCTAATCATTAAGTTAAGCTGCTTAGTCCAATAATTACTATGATAGCATTAGTTAAGATTCTATTTTTAATTTATGAGAATGTTTAAACAATATAAAATACAGAAAATGTATTGAATTAAAAGGCGTAACACACATTAAATACTTTCAATTGATTTTCTACCAAAATATAAAATCAAAAGTTAACCCTATAATTCAATTTTCTTTTCCTGCTCGTAATTAATTATGCTCTTTTTAAAATCTCATTGCTTGGCTTCATTTAGAGCTTTAATATATTTATTTATATATTTGGTAACTCAACAGCTTGTTTACAATGGCTAGAACAGCAAACTTACATAATGTATCCTTGATTTACCTTTGTTTGACGTTCAGCACCTTTTTGGAAACATACAAACCTTACACTTATAGTGGACAATACAATAAAAGAATTGTCAAAATTGAGGACTAGACTTCTCTTCCTATACGCTACGGAAAATTTCTAGTGTTGATTTCCTAGTATTTTTATCTTTGGTTCATAGCACTTATATTTTTTTTAATTCCAAACAACTTCAACAGCTGCTATATTCAATATAACCGAGGCTAAAACTGCTTGGAAGATATTATCTCCAAGTGATTTTTTAACAGAAATGTCATCTCCAAAACATTGGGACGAGCCGCTGTGTAAATAAGTACGGAATGATTTAAACAGGTCAGCTAATTATGCAGAACATGCTCGTCTCTTAGCTGTCTGTTTAGTCACTATAGTCTTGCTACCTGTAAAATCCTCCATCTTTGCCTTTGCGGTGAAAATGTGAACTCTTTAGGTCCTCACGGTTTATACTGCAGCAGAAGTGCTGGTCGTATCTCTAGACAACTAAAAATACAAGTAATCTTTAAAGATTTTCATTTTGACTCTTTTAGGTATGTAACTCATACGCTTACGCGTGATTCGCCGACAATCGAGAGATATAATAGACTCTATAATATTAAATGGCGATCTTATATCGTTTTTACATCATGATTTACACGTACACGTACGTACATTTATTATGTACACGCTCAATAAAAATTTCGTTTTATATCGAACAATATCAATTTGGAACGTAATTTAAAAGATTTTGATTTATGATATGAATTCGGATAATTTTAATTTAAGCCTTTAATCACTGATATTAGTAACGAATTATACGGTACTTCCCCGAAGAGCGATTTTTGAATGTATTTTTACAGTTTGAAAGGTATATAACATATTTTTAACTGAAGTGCGGGAGTGCGCTTATTTTAAAATTACTTAAATTAATTTGATTAGATTTATCAATTATTTAAGGAACAATATTAGATCGTGCTATTTTTGTAATATTCATATTCAGTGCTATTAATTGGATATTGCAGAATGTACTTGGATCGGGCAAGTTGGATAATAACCCTGCAAGACACAGGTTAATCATGACTACTGCTATCTTCTCAATCGATAGTATATCAGGTAATTATTATCTTATCTTGAATAATTGAACAATCTTTACACGGCTGCCCAAAAAGGGAGAATAATGTGAGTTTCTTTATTCCGTCATAACTTTTGAAAGACTAAACGTATATAAATATATATGGTATCATTAGAAACTTTACGTTGCCCCGAGAAAAACTGGACATATATTTTTATTATCCAAAATGGCGGATGAATGGCATTGAAAAATATGAAAAAATAATGTTTATTCAATTATAACAATATGTAGAAAATATCAAATGAAAGGTTCTAATGAGTACATTCCAAAATATGATTTTGTGTACATTTACTGGTCACTAAAAGGATTAAATAAAAATAAATCATAAATAATTCTTTGCCTCTACTTATTATAGCCAAAGAATTATTTATGATATTTATAACTGCTAGTCTTCTCCATTCAAAGGTTGTTTGGTAAAGCTTTTAGCGATAAGACCACCAATTGCTTCCCTACCGTGTTATGTGTAATTTGAACATTTCAAATACTGTTAAAAAATGGTGTGAAAATAAATAATTGTTATTATTATTGATATAGTCTTTTTCAGTTTTAGCTGGTTGTCTACATTTTAAGGGTAGGGGAGGCCGGGCTGAAAGTTCCGATTTTGAAATAACATGGAATTAAAACCGTGCATCCATTCTATATCAGCGAAGCCAGTTTCATAACAATTTTGCAAACATTTATATTTCAAAACTTTGTTATAATCATTTGATAGTGTTCTGACTTCCAATATCGTGAGTCCGAAATATGTTTTTGAACTTTTTCAATTCATTAGTCTTTTTAGTAAAACTATTTGTTTTCGACTATTTAAAAACCCCTTTTACTGACGCAAAAAATATAATTTTATTAATATTGGGAAAGCTAAATTTTCTGAAATAATCATAAAAATTGTTAGCGGTGGTACATACATACGCGTACGAAAGAGCCCTTGGTGGAAATGTACGAATGTGCCCCGAAGATAAAGAATAAAATTATTTTTTATAACACAAAACCCACGTAAAAAATATACAAATAATTTATATATTATTATTATCTTAATCATATTCA